TTTCGAGTCATAACAGGAGATCTTGCAAGTGGCATTGATTTCAGTTGCAGTCTTGTCCTTGCCTCGAAGTACAAAATAGATTTCGATGAAATCAGGAGGGTTCGGTAGGGAATCAGCTGACGGACGATAGCAGGATCGGGAGCTCGACGAGACCACGTCCGACCGGGCCGAGAGCACGCGACCGTTCCACGCGATCAACTTATTTTCTGACTCAAAACTTAAATCAAAACTTATTTTTCTGACTCAACTCTGACTCAACTCAACGCTTTAATATTTTTGTCCGACTCAACTCTGACTCAACTCAACAGCTCAACATTTTATCCGACTCGACTCAAATCTGACTCATTTGAGTCAGAGTCGAGTCAAATATCTGACTCGACTCATGAGTCAAGCACAACCCTGGCAGTAGGGATGTCCTAGGGTAAGGAGAGGCACCTTCGTGAAATCCTTAACTTCGTGATTCGCAATTTCTCAGAAATCTGAAAACTTGCAGCGCTGTCAACCAGCTCATCCTATGGGGCCCGGGCAGTAGGCGGAATGACTTTTTGGTAAGCAGTTGTCCCTCATTCGGTTTATATGGTATAACCTAAAATATATTTTTCGATGTCAATTCTTCTTTTTCTGGGTTCAATTAAACTAGCGTACCTTTCTCGGCTTACCGAATTGTGAATTAACAAGTGGTGTTTGGTTTGCTGGGTCTAAGTCATGTATGTCAGTGGGCAACCTTTTTGTCCCGTTTTCCCTGAACCTTTGTAATGCTGCCAAATGGAAAATATTGTCCACACTCTCAACTTCGTGAACCCTAACTGCGTGATCAAAAAGTAAGGCAAGCATTTCCTGAAAAGCCACCTTATTACTCTTTCCTAAAAGAAATATGCTTTCCCATTGCCAGCTATTTATCTTTACGCTGCCCGCTGCGATTTTATGCTAAGCTATGGGCAAGGGCATCAATAATGGTCTGAAGATAACACGCGAGATGCGTTGACGGCTGTCGAGAGAGGCTAAATTCAGCGAAGCTTCTCGCTTTTACGGCATCCCAAGACAAACGCTTGTTTATTATCATCGAAAGATAATTCACGAAGTGATGACCCCACCTACGAACTTAGGAGCAAAAACGTCTTTTTAAAATGCAGCTTGCGAAAAATCTATAGACGATAAAACAAACTAAGAAGGATCATAGCGTGTGCAATGAAATGGTGGTGCTAGAGCTAGACATGCTTCAGCTGCATACCAACGCAAAATGTTGGCTCTGGGGGAAGATTTTTATTTTTCACGAAGTTAAAAACCTCTCCTTACCCTATCCTAAAGTTCTGCAGAATATAATGCTACCAATTTTTAAGGTCCTCTCCGGGCATCAATTTTATACGTTGCGGGCCACAGTTTTCCCAGAGGCTATAGGTACTAGGTTGGCAATAAATGGCGTCAGAATGACGTCATATTCTACCATTTTTTACCAAAAAAAAAAGGTTTTACGGGAAGAGCTGGGGCATTCCATGATAGATCGTACCAGGCCCGTCACCCTCATCTCTCAGATTTGAATGAAAATTGGTACTAGGGGTAATCATAAGCTCCAAAAACACCTGCCAAAATATCAGATTTCTCAGATGAAAACTTTTTGAGCTACATTGCAAAATATTTTCTAAACTTCAGATTGTAAAGGTGAGTTTGATGAGCTATAACTAAAAAACGAGCTAAGCAAGCAGCAGACGATAAACAGCTTTGAACTAACGGTGAATCAAAGATCAGCACAGCTTTTTTAAAATTGGAAAGAAAAGCTTTACATTTTGAAAAATGTCGTAATATTTTTTAAACTGTCTATAACGGCCCTTGGGACCAAAATTTTTGCCATTTTTATTTCTTCAAAATAAATTTCAGGTCATTTAAAATCTACATGGAAAAAATTAGAAAGGTGTTCTTTCTATAAGTTCCTCATTTTAATGCATACAAAATGGGTTTCTGGGGGGTCGGTACAACCCCAGCTCGCCGTTTCGCCTCTAATGGAGCTTGAACCTTGCGGAAAAAAACGAGCATGTGCGCCGTTACAAGATGCATCGAATGATACCACATTTTAAGGTCTCAGATTCATTGGTGACCCCTGAGGTCATTTCAAGTGACCCAAATTACGGGTCCGGTTTTTGGTAGATAACTTCGCAACAAATGGTCGCAGAGCCGCAATTTTATCATCTTTGTGTGTGCCTAGCTCCGCCACAGTGATGCAAATGGGGTTCACGAGTGGCCATAAATACCAAAAAGTCAAGTTTACCAAACCGAGTAAATCGCTATATGGCTAACCAAAGAAATGTTTGGCGCATCTGAATTCACATAGTTTGCATATTTTTATCAAAACCGGCCTCGTGTATGATTGTCAGAAGTCGTGACATTTTCTATGTCGTAAAATGACTGTCAGATACTCGCAACTTCAAACGCCGCTAGCGTGCGTTCATTTTATACAAATGACAAAAATTATACATGGCAATGATCCCTAAAGCCTGCTGCTTCTAATGCCGGGTCACAAAAAGCCGCATCTTTTTTGGTTTGGCGGTGATCTAATCATTTGTCATCATGTTGCAATCGCAGTTTTTTACTAAGAAATATTTGCTTTCGTTTCACCTACAGCAGTTAACACAGTGTGTGCCCGTTAGTGCACCATACCATATCATTCCCTAACCATTTCTGAGTCACACTGTGAAAGAATTAAGGCGCTAGCACAGGGCAGACCGGCGCTATTGAAGTTTTTGTCCGGCGCGGTCGGGTGTCGCGGTCGGGGCGGATTGCTTTCACCGCGGATCGTAATTTCGACAGACGTTTAACTTTGAACTGCTATAAGTAGGTCAAATATTGACCATAAGTCAAAAGTAATATGCTCAATCGCGAGATCATGTCAAGAGCAATCCATTGGTTTTTGTCGCGAGGCGATAGGACACTTCGTTTAGGAACAGCAGAGGGATGCACCGACGAACCCCCGCTGAGGCCGCTCGCCCGCGGCGCGGCCGCCCGGGCTGCCCACCGCGCCGCGGCACCCGACCGCAACGGACGAAAACTTTAGTAGCGCCGGACAGCCCTGTGCTAGCGCCTTCATTCTTTCACAGTGCGGCTCAGAAATGATTAGGGAATGCTATGATATGGTGCACTAACGGGCACACACTGTGTAAACTGCTCTAGGTGAAACGAAAGCAAATATTTTAAAATAAAAAACTGCGATTGCAACATGATGACAAATAGTTAGATCAACACCAAACCAAAAGAGATACGGCTTTTTGTGACCCTGCATTAGAAGCAGCAGACCTTGGGGATCATTGCCATGCATAATTTTTGTCATTTGTATAAAATGAATGCACGCTAGCGGCGTTTGAAGTTGCGAGTATCTGACAGTCATTTTACGACATAGAAAATGTCACGACTTCTGACAATCATACACGAGGCCGGTTTTGACAAAAACATGAAAGCCATGTTTTTTCAGACACCCCAAACATTTGCCTGACTGGCCATATTACGATTTATTCAATTAGGTGAACTTGAAATTTGGGCCTTTTCGGTATTTATGGCCACTCGTGAGCCCCATTTGCATCACTGTACTCCGGCGCGTCGGATGGTTTGTTCTGGTGAGGTCACTCGGGTCAGCACACTGCTGTGTATTTGGCTCCGCTCCCCGCGACCGGGCGGCCCAGCCGGCAGCCAGCCCCCGGGCATCACGTGACCGCTCCGAGTCCGCGGCAAAGCCAACCAGCGCGGCAAAGCCAACCAGCGCGGCGCTTGACAAACAGCGCCGCCACAGAGATGGTTAACAGTCGGGTCAGGCCACGAAGCTGGGTGAATGAGATCATATTGCACATCATTCGATTTGCAAGGTTTTCCCGTGTCCATTGGTAGCTTTCCCGTCTCTCTAGCTCAATTTGATCGAGAGTTATCGACGAAAAACTCTTATGACCCTAGTGACGTACGAATGACGTCACGCAAGGTCAACAATGCAAACGTGAGGCAAAAATGACTTCAATTGGACTATCAGTAACCAGTGATGTCACTAGGCAGCTTTACCACGCCATTTGTAGGCTCTCTTCCCGAAATCACAGTTCGAGACCATTACGGTGACGTAAAATAAGTACATTTGTAGAAAGAACACCTTCCTTATTTTTTGCATACTACTTTATAATGATTCAAAATTTTTTCAGTAAATAAAAATTAAAAAAAAAATGGTCCCAAAGGCATAAAAATGCAAATGAAAGGAAACTCGATGTGTAATACATCAAAAATAGTTTATATTTCAAAATTTTAAAAATGCATATTATTCTTTGTATCAATGCAAGTTCAATGCCGTATAGCAATTGACATTTGGATTATCCGTCTTAGAGTGAGCCCGCCAAACTTGGCGCTGTAACGCAAGATCCAAAACATGTTATACATTATAACTCAAAAACTACTCATCTGATTAGCCTGAAATTGTCACAGGAGGATTCAGAGCCCCTGATTACCCCTTAGACCTATTATCGTTAAAATCCGAGAGATGAGGGTGTCAAATTGGAAAAAAGTGGTACGATCTATCGTGAAATGCCCCCAATGCGAGGGTACTGCGATCGGCCGCTTATTACCCGAGTTATTCGCGAAAAACCTAAGTTATTCACGAAAAACCCGCGAAAAGCCCCCCCCCCCCCTCCCTGTGCCGGCGAGGGTTAGGAGATATCGACGGAAAGGGAGGGGGGAATTTCGTCCCCACCCTAGATGGCGCAGATTAAGCACTTTGCCGGATGAGAGCCACCTTTGCGGTGAAAATTTGGTCGGGGCCCACCATAATCGTTTTTAACAGCTCTGACTCAGCACGTCAATACCCATTGCATGAGATAAAATTTTACCAGTTTAACCCTCGTCCGTATGGGTGTTTTGCGAGCCGCTAACGGTCTAGCGTTCTTCGTTAACGTCGCCGTAACTAACGTCGCCGGTGGCTGATTCACCTGGGCCGGAGGATCCGCGACGTCGAGCTGGAGCGCCTCTGGCCCAGCTGGGCAGGAGGATCCGCGATGTCGAGCTGGAGCGCCGCTGGCCCAGCTGAAAAACGGCGCCGGCACGCCGCTTTTGTTTTTGCACAGTTGTGATCGGCGTGAGATGGAAAGACCCGAGACAATCCGCGTGCCAATATTCCGCTCAGACTCGGACCGCATCTGCTGCCGGTGGCTTCGACTGCCAATGGCACTCTCGTGCGAGGTCATATAAGTGAGCCCCCTTCTGGGCGTCCTCAGACCAGTGAGTGACCCGTGCCGGTGAGAAGGCGCGCTGTGAGGGGCCCACGTGGATACGGCCCGCACACCAGCACAAAGCCGACACGATGCCACTTCTGTGGATTGCGGTAAGAGGAACATTTTATATACCAGTTAGATGGTTTGCATCTAATCTAACGATAGCATGTAATTTGTCCCTAAGGTGTAAGCTGTTTGATGTATTCATTGCATGCGTGGTTATAAATTTTAACCCTCGCCGGCACAGAGGTGATGCCCCCTAAGGTTTTTCGCAAATATAACTCTCGTAAAAAGCAGCCGATTGCGACGACAGTACCCTCGCGTAGATCAATTTTACACTAAAGAGCGTTGAAAATCATGGAGAAATTACTTCAGTCATGTTGCAGTTCAGACCAAAGCCCACGTCGTCATGTTCATCAAAGGAAAAGTTTCGCCTATTTCGACACTAGAGAACATATAAAGCTATAGCGCGCTGAAAGTGGGTTCGATAGCTCTCTAACGTGCGCAATCAGCCAGGGGGTCATTGGCCGATGGCTGCGTATCGGCCAAACCCGATCATCTAACAAAAATTTAAGAAGGCTAGAAAGACGAGAAAAAACAACGGATAGCTGTAATAAGGATGCTTCAGAATCGTAGAGGTCGTTTTTCAATGAGGTCATCGCTGAGGTCATTGATGATAAAATAATGGTAGAATTATGATAAACACAAAGACAAGATTACGACGAAAAAAATCTTGTTTTTATATTTTTCACAAATAACCGTATAACTCGTGAACCAAAGAGCTAGAGCTTCGCGGAAAACTCATTCGATAGGCCTTTCAAAACGCTTTTTGTTTTAACCCGCGCCCCGCTGGGGGGGGGGCAGAATCTGGCCCCCTCCCGTTTTTTGCCAATAACTTCTAAAAGCTTTACGCCAGTGACGTCAAACTTTCAGTACCGTGTCAAACATTAATTTAACACGTTTCCTGAAAATTTGAGCGAAATCCGTCGGATTTTCTTGTTGAGAAAATGACGTTTAGTGACGTCATGTCACGCCATTTTCGCCTCAAAAACGGCAAAACTTCCAACGCCGCTAACATCTTCATTTTTAAAGGAATCAAAACGTAACAAAAAAGGCGATACGTGATTCTACTTTGTCTATCAAATGGCTATCTCGTTTTTTGAAAATTTTGGATTTTGGCCTAATTTTTTTAACTGCCTCTTTGAGGAAATAATTATAAAATCCAAAATTTTGAGTGTATCGAAAAAAAAACGGAATATATATCAGAGAAGTGGTCTATGTGCACCTGCATACCAACCAATTCTATGAATAAAATGACCCGTAAAACATGTGTCGCACATGCCCTTTTCTATACCTATTTTGTTTTTGGTGACCTGACCTGACCTGACCTGACCTTACCTTGACCTTGACCTTGATCTTTGAATGATATTGTATCGATAGGCGTTATCACAAGTGTATTCGCGGCCATTGGGGCGACGTAAGAAAAGAAGAAAACATCTGGCCCCAAGAACTTTGAATCATCAGTTAGCATGCAAATTTTCCTTGATGTGTAGAGAATCTACAAATGATAAATAGAGAAAATTGCATTTAAAATTTTCCTTTTATGTTTTTTTCATCGTTTGAACAATATATTATTTTACTAAGCTAGAAACACTTATTATAAATAGTTCCAGCATCATCGTCAAGAACAATAAGAACGGCTTGAAGTGAATACAACTATCTAAACGGTTTTGTAAGATGTGAAGATCACTTCTAAAATTGCCTGTAGAAATATTGAAGGCAAAAGTTCACCTTTTTCACAAGACGGATGTCTATAAACCTATTCAACGTGTGACAACTCAGCCGGTATTTCGTCGCCTACAGCCCAGCTTTCCCTAATGACCGCTAGAGGCGCTGCTATCGATGTCCGCCCGTACCGCCTACCGTGCAACGAATATTGTCTTAGTAGCCTACGAACTCGTTTTGGGCAATCAGTCTCAGTCAATTCTTCGGCAACTACGGTGCAAGGCCGATGCTGTAGAAACTTGCATTTTGTACCCTTTTGACCTGACCGCTGACCTGCTTAAGCAAAAAAATGATTCTTAAGATCCGCCTTGTTGAGAGCTTTCGATTGCCGTTTTCCCGTCTTTCCACTACCATCGGTTCGGAAGTTAGGCAGAGGGTGGGGCAGAATCTGCCCCCCCCCCCCCAACATGGCGCGTATGGCTGAATAGCCCAGCGGGGCGCGGGTTAAGATTTGACCTCAATGCCTCATGTCAATGGTTTCGCAACAGAGCAGAAGGCAAAAACATCTAAATAGTCGCATTATACCAAAATGATTTTGCTCAGAATTTTTGTAAGAACTTTGGTGAGAAAAACTATGAGACATTTACATTTTACTTTATCATCATTTTCTCGTTAACATGCATCGAATTAACTACCTATAATTTCACATAAAAAGTTCAACCTCAAAATGTGACCGCAGATCAAGGTCATGCCCTTACTTGAAAAGTTCATGATGATCATCAACCGATCCGTATGGATGACCTTAACACCTTCAAGACAATGCTCTACCTCGTCTCCTATATCAAAAGTAACAGTCGAAAAACTGATGTTCAGCTTTTTAAAAAACTTTTTGACCTAGCCCGACCCTTCGAGTGGCCGCTGGCCATCAATTGCATGCTGTCCATCAAATATGGGCTGTCTTGATGGACATGCAGAATGGTCGTGTTTCTGTAAATATGCTGTTGTTCTTAACGTGCCTCTTCAGATCAAGAGATATTTGTCCTTTTCCCCGATTTGGCTGGCAATGATGAGGTCGAAGATCTGGCCTGACCACAGATCAGAGTGTTAACCCTCGCACGACCAGGCCATTTCTCATAACACGAACGACCAGGGGGGGGGGGGCTGTTACGACCCCCCCCCCTGGCGTTTCGAAACGGAAGGTCGTAGAGCTTAGCGGAAAAAACCAACGGATTGCTCTCAACGAGATCTCGCGATTGGTGGTATATTTTTTGGTCCTAGGTCAACATTTGACCTACTTATGACCGGTCAAAGGTCAAATTTTCCGAAAAAATCAAACTTTTTCAACTTTCCGCGGCGATTGCGGCAAAACGGTGGGAGATATCGACTTGAAACCTTCACTATCGTGTTCCTTGATCAATTCTCTATCGTTTGGTATGTATTTCGTTTCCCTAGCTCTAAAAATGGCGCGTTGGGAGCGCCGGAAGTCGGCAAGGTCACAGTCGGCGGCAGAAATTCGAAAAATCAAAATTTAAATTTTTGAAATCTGATTGTATTTTTGGATTTGGGAGGTCCATTTGCTCCCTATAGAAGCTAATATTGCTGCATATTCCCATTGAGGTGACAAGAATTAGCAAAATAGTGGTTCGGGCGCTTTTCAAAAATAGTACCGGACGTTGTTCCTCTTGTGACGTCATAGCTCCGTGACCTGACCTGACCCGGTCAATTTTCTTGCACCACACGATAGCCAATGCTTGCCCCAGCATGCATGGGAAGTTTCATCATGATCCATCAAACAATGTGGGTATCACCGGCAGAAAACCTAGGGATTCGGCGCACACGTTTGGTAACTGTCGGCCGGAGGCTGTACCTCTTATGACGTCATAACTCCGTGACCTGACATGACCCGATCAATTTTTTTCGGCAAAAGATGCGCAAAGGTTGCCCCAGAGGGTATTGAAAATTTCAGCCCGCTACGACAAGCCGTTTAGCGTGCACTTCGAAAAAACCTCAGGGGGGGTTGATACAACCCCCCCTAGGCGTTCTAGGGTTAACAAAGTTTAACCCGCGCCCTGCTGGGGGGGGTGTTTGAACACCCCCCTGTGGTTTTTCGCAAATATCTCAAAAACGGCGGCGCGGAGCGCCGCCGTTTTTGGTACACCTTATCATACATCAATTCTACACATGTTGTGAAAATTTCAGACCAAGGTCATTCAAGGTCAGGTCACCAGGTCACTCGAAGTGACCTCACCTCATAAAAAGTTTCAATGTCTGTCATAGCTACACCGAGTGACCGATCGCTTTGAAACTTTCAGCGATTGCTAAGAGCATTAGCATGTACAAAATGTATATCTCAGAATTTTGATATCGATGACCTAAGGTCAGGTCAATTTTGCGACCTCACCATTATAAGTCAATGGGAGAAAATTGAAATGCGCCTGTTTTGGACGAAAGACATTATAAACACTCCCAAACACTGAATTACAAGTGGTTTAGACACACTGAACATGAAAATGGTGTCTGTGACCCCTGGTTATGCCCTGAGGTCATCTTAGGTCACGAATGGTATCTAACAGTTTTTCGCAAATAACTTTTGATAGAGGCATGCTAGAGCGATGAAAACGCCTTAGATGTGTTCAGCTCGACGATACGGATCGACTGATATGCAACATGACCCTTTCCGGTCAGGTCATGACCTTGACCTGAGGTCAAATTTTCAAGTTGACCTTTCAAGGTCAAATTATAGTTCGTTCGATGCGTCTTGACGAGAGGAACACGATGCCGGTAAAAGTAAGCTCGTACAATGCTTGGGTCAAAAGTTATTGCAGAAAACTGTTTCCGAAAAAATCGGCTATTTTTGCAGTTTTTGCCCCCTGCAGGCAAAACCGTTGACGTTAGGTCAAATCTGAGAAAATTACTCAGAAAGGGCGTTAATAGGGCTATCGAATGCGCTTTTCCGCGGCGCTGTAGCTCTATTGGTTCCCGAGTTATGCGTTGGCTTCTTGGAAATTTTCGACATTCGACCTGGAAATCGGCGAAAATTTGCCTTCAATGACCTCTGGTAACCTGACCTTTGACCTGACCAAAAAATTGACCGAAGTGATTTCCTCATTATTTTTGACGCTCTTTCGAACGCCGCCTTCCGCGTATCGCTACGTGGCCCAGGAGCCGAGTTAGAAGGGGGGGTGTTCAAACACCCCCCCCCCCCAGCAGGGCGTGGAAATCCAGGACCCCCAGCCGGGCGCGGGTTAACCCGCGCCTCGCTGGGGGAGTGGGGGGGCAGAATCTGCCCCCCTCCCGTTTTCGCCAATAACTTCTAAACGCGTTTCGCCAGCGACGTCAAACTGTTAGTAGCTTATCATACCTACATCCATTTAACACGTTCCCTGAAAGTTTGAGCGAGATCCGTCTGAAATTTTTTGAGAAAATGACGTTTAAGTGACGTCATGTCACGCCATTTTCGCCTCAAAAACGGCAAAACTTCCAACGCCGCCAACATCTTCATTTTTAAAGGAATCAAGACGTAACAAAAAGGTTACAGGTGATTCTACTTTGTCTATCCAATGGCTATCTCGTTTTTTTGAAAATTTTGGATTTTGGCCCAATTAAAAAACTCACTTTTTTTGGAAAATAATTATAATTTGACGTCATCAATTTTGAACAGTTTTTTCGCTATAAATTGGCCAAAAAAGGTATCGATCTCAAATTTGGTATGTCGATAGAAGGCGGTAGAGAATATCACATATTTTCCGGTTCTTTCGAAATTCAAAAAACTTTTGGGTTTTTTCGGCTATTATATTCAAAAAATCTATTTTTGATTTTGGGGGTAAAAATAAAAAATAAAAAAATCGGAGATAGCATCTGTATCTCTAAAGCTGTAGGCCTGACAGCTTTTCTTGCGAAACCTTTTTTGGGTCGAAAATGGCAGAAATTACGTCACTCTGACGTCATTAGCGTCCAACATATCATAGCCTTTGGAAAATATTTGGTCACAATGTGCAATAGCTATTCACGGGAGGGTACTGAAAGTTTGGTGACGATCGGCGCGGCGGTTCTCGAGATATATCGAAAAAAACTAAAGAGGGACAAAAAATGCCCCCCCCCCACCGCCTGGAAGGTTAACCCTAGAACGCCTAGGGGGAGGTTGTATCAACCCCCCCCCCCCTGAGGTTTTTTCGAAGTGCACGCTAAACGGCTTGTCGTAGCGGGCTGAAATTTTCAATACCCTCTGGGGCAACCTTTGCGCATCTTTTGCCGAAAAAAATTGATCGGGTCATGTCAGGTCACGGAGTTATGACGTCATAAGAGGTACAGCCTCCGGCCGACAGTTACCAAACGTGTGCGCCGAATCCCTAGGTTTTCTGCCGGTGATACCCACATTGTTTGATGGATCATGATGAAACTTCCCATGCATGCTGGGGCAAGCATTGGCTATCGTGTGGTGCAAGAAAATTGACCGGGTCAGGTCAGGTCACGGAGCTATGACGTCACAAGAGGAACAGCGTCCGGTACTATTTTTGAAAAGCGCCCGAACCACTATTTTGCTAATTCTTGTCACCTCAATGGGAATATGCAGCAATATTAGCTTCTATAGGGAGCAAATGGACCTCCCAAATCCAAAAATACAATCAGATTTCAAAAATTTAAATTTTGATTTTTCGAATTTCTGCCGCCGACTGTGACCTTGCCGACTTCCGGCGCTCCCAACGGGCCATTTTTAGAGCTAGGGAAACGAAATACATACCAAACGATAGAGAATTGATCAAGGAACACGATAGTGAAGGTTTCAAGTCGATATCTCCCACCGTTTTGCCGCAATCGCCGCGGAAAGTTGAAAAAGTTTGATTTTTTCGGAAAATTTGACCTTTGACCGGTCATAAGTACCGTAAAGTGGGGCTATTTGAGACAGTGGGGCTATTTGAGACAGTATTTAAAATCGCTATAAAATGAAGAGCGTTTGATTTTTATGTGATATTTTTGCTCAGGGAGGTGTGGAATCGAGCAGTAAATCGCCTGAGCAAAAATTAAGCATAAATTTCCAACGGTTTTTATTTTATAACAATTTTAAATACTGTCTCAAATAGCCCCACTGTCTCAAATAGCCCCACCTTACGGTAGGTCAAATGTTGACCTAGGACCAAAAAATATACCACCAATCGCGAGATCTCGTTGAGAGCAATCCGTTGGTTTTTTCCGCTAAGCTCTACGACCTTCCGTTTCGAAACGCCAGGGGGGGGTCGTAACAGCCCCCCCCCCCCCCTGGTCGTTCGTGTTATGAGAAATGGCCTGGTCGTGCGAGGGTTAAGGTCATGGTGAGCCCCTTCGACTGTCACTTTCTCTAGCACGGGCCGTTTGAGAGTGGCAGTCTGGCTCGAGTATTTTGAATGCTCTGAAATGTGTGGCTTATTGAGCCGTCACCCCGCCCCCGAGACTTTGGGACCGAACTTCAGTCCTTAGTGGATGTACAGCTGCTGAAGTACCTGATGTCATATTTTTGCACGGTCGAACTGGACAGCTCCAGTATTCTTTTAAAGGTTTATTTCTGTTTACATGGCTCCATTGTGAATGACTGTCGCAAATAGTCGCTTGAAAAAAATGGGCGATTTTTTGGAGGGGACGTCCCCCAGATTACTCGAATGGGGGACGCGTCCCCCGTCCCCCCGCTTTCGACGCCCATGGATGTAGCTTATTTGACGGCCGCCGGAGCTCGATTTCTGAACATGCCAAATGTTGATAATTTGTTATGTCAACTAGCCTATGTGATTACGGAGCGAGCGAAGCGAGCGGAGTCTTACGTAGAATAACGGCCTGGGCTCCCCCCACGGTAGCGATGTGCCAACGTATCGACAGGGTCATAAGCTTCGCCGCCCGGTTTGTGTCGGGAAAACGTAAACATGACCACATCTCGGAAACGCGCCGGCAGCTCGGCTGGCTGTCATTTGAGCAGGTGGTTCGAGAGAGGGATTGTCTCCTCGTTCACCGACTGCTGAACAGTGAACAGGCCCCCGCAACCCTCAAATCACTGGTCCAGCATCGGGCTGACGTCTCAGAGCGAGAGACCCGCGCGTCAGGCAGTGCAGTCTCCACACTCGCCGCTGTAGGCTGGAAGCAACTCGCCGTTCCGTGCCGGTCCGGCCGATCCGGTAGTGGAACGAGCTCCCTGCCGAGCTGCGCCGTGTGACGGGCAGGAGGGCGTTCACGAGCGGTGTCACGGCCTTCCTCGTCTCTCCGCCGTAGATGGCGAGCTGCCACTCGTGCCAACACTTATATTTTTATCTGTCTAGCGCTGAGCGATGCCTTTAATCTTTATAGCTTTTACCTGGAGCCCGATGCATTTTAACAGTAGTGTTTTTGACAGTGTGCCCATTGACCATGTCTGTGGATGATTGTGACAATGTATGACTCTGTGGGAGTAAGAGCCAACTGCATGTTGGAACCCACAACGATCCGCAATACATACATACATACATACAACGGAAATTTCTGAGTATGAGCGGCCGGCCGGCCGGCCGGCCGTGGTCACGATTCTGCGACGCTGTTATCTCAGCAACCACTTGACCGATTTACATGCGGTAATTTTTGTAGGGTAGCTTCATTCCTTCTACCAAGTATTGGACTATTCCCGATGCATGTGGGTGACCCCTTATGCACATGCCACGTGCAAAACGAAAAGGTGTTTTGTAATTGTTGCAATATCTCGGTAACTACTTGGCCGATTGCGCTGAAAGTTGGCATGCAGGTAGGCACCCACTAGGCAATGCATATCCATGTGCCGGAGTAGGGGTGCTGCTGCACGTGCGCACGTGCAGGGGTCGATTCCAGATCTCGAGAACGGCTGGACCGATGGCGCTCAAATTTGGTACATGGCTAGGGACCGGTTAGTAGGGTGCCGTGCAAAAGTCAGTTGGGACCCATTTTGCACGTGCGCAGTGCGCACGTGCAGGGTGCCGCTTCCAGATCTCGAGAACGGCTGGGCCGATTGTGCTCAAATTTGGCACATCGCTAGAGACCGGTTTGTAGGGTGCCGTGCACAAGTCAGCTGGAGGTACCCCCTCGAAATTTCGCACGTGCAAGGCTCACCCTCTCGCTCGCTCCGTTAGTCGCCCCAAAAGGCGTTATACTGGTATGTATGCCGTTATTGGTAATCTCGAGGTTAATAAAATTGGGTTTTGTTCGAATTTTTTTAAGGGGTATCAAATGTTGTTTCTGGTGTGTAAATCAAACCAATAATTTCGAAGAAAAGAAGGGACCTCCAGTTATTCGCGGTATGAAATGTACACCAGTCATGCGCGGGTAAAAAGATGTCGTAGGAAAACAGGAAGCAGCTCTGCAAAGCGAAATTATGCGCCGGTATGTAAATCATTGGAACGTTTAGCATTCCATCATTTATAGGGGGTCATTGGTGCAATATTGTCCGATTGTCCCTCCGTGTATGGATTGTGATATCCAACATTGACCTGGCGTTTTGTTCAGGTGCTGGTGCTGGGGCTGGCTGCGACCGGTCACACGGCGGACGGCGCGTCCGACGCCGGCCAGGAGAAGGAGGCCGCCCGCCTGCTCTTCCCGGTGGTGTACTCGAGCACTCTGACCGTGTTCAGCATTCAGTCCGTCACCAGCACTGTGCCCTTCACCTGCTTCAACTGTGAGTGGGCGCGCCAATCGCCGCCATGGCCGCCGTCTCGGCCGCTGTCACTGCCTCGTGATTACTGAAGACTTAACGCAGATACATATAAACGACATTTTAGCAATATTCTTTACACTTATTCAAAGCAACCAATTTACCTAATTTAAATTGCTGACAGTCTTTGTTTCATTAAATTGTCCACGGACAATTTAACCGACGCCCCGCGGAGAGCAGAATCTGCCGCCTCTCCCCTTTTTCGCCAATAGCTTCAAAGCGCCAATAGCTTTTGAGATACCCGCGTTGTGCTCGGGGGGGGGCGTTTTGACGCCCTCCCCCTCAGGCTTTTCGCGAATATCGCGTGGAGAATATCGGCGCGCAGCACCGCCGTTTTGGTACGCCTGTTTATATATTTTTGTCCGCACATGTAATAATTTCAGACCCAGGTCGTTCAAGGTCAGGTCACCAGGTCACGTCAAGTGGCCTTACCTCAAAAAAGTTCAAAGGCTCGCTATAGCTACACGGACCGAACGATCACTTTGAAACTTTCACCGATTGATAAGAGCAACTGTGTACCTGGCCCATGTCGTCCCCTATCTCCCTGTGTGTCCAATAACACAGATGACGTCACACGAAGGGGCGGAGTCGGGGGCAGAGTAGCGCAACGGCCGCCATATTTGAATTTGTTTTAAAGAATATATTCGATATTTGGGCTGTAAGTCTATTGTTATCGATAGTGTGATGAACGGTAAGCTGCAATACAAGTAATTTCTAAAGAAAAAAAACGCATATTCTGCTTGCAATTTGGATTTAAGCCCGACCCGCGCCTAGATTCGAACGCACGATCTTTAGATTACGGTGCGGGCATCCTAACCAATACACTACCGCGGCGGTGCAGCGCCCGGCAGACTGCGGAGGCATGGGGGCTTTTTATGCATTTTTGAGGAAGAAAACTAATGGGCTTAGGGAAAAACGCTTCTTAGATTATTCGAAGAAAAATGTCTCGCCTTTCCGATGATGCACTTAGTTTTGTGATAGCTCTAGCAGAGTTCGTTCTACAGCGCTTCAAAAATCACACTTTCACATGGGACTTGAACGGGACTTAAAGACTTGCCCCCAGATGACGTCACGGGCTGACGTCACGATCAGATAGAATTACCGGACGACCCTACCTGGGCCGTGAGAGGAAGGGGGAGTCGCATGGACCCCTCCCCCCCCCCCCCCGGTGCCAGGACGTGGGTTGATATTTGAGTTTTTTTTTTTGCTACATGTTGTTCTATAGCGTTCAGCTTCCACTGGGACACGAAAAACATGCCTTTTGATTTTAAGAATGCCCGGGACAGCCCGTTAAAGGGACCCTCCCACCTTAACATTAGTTTTGAGTTGAGATAGCCAAATTGGTGGCCATGGCCCGAAAATACCGGTTTGGGCACTCACAACATCGAAAAATGCTTTAGGTAATTCGGATATATGGAATTTCAAACTTGCAGTTTTCGGATTCTAAGGGGCTAATGCATTGGTGTGCCCCCTTAGAATTTGTGACGTCAGCGGAGATCTAACGATTTTTAAATCTTTTACTAAAACGTTTGGTAGCACGCGGTGGTATATGCTGCTTTGCGCGCAACAAATGCCGCACTTTCAAATAAAGTCGCTAGGAACAGCGGAGATCCCAAAAAGTAAACAATTGTAAAAGTTTAATATCTTGGAAACCGGTGAATATTTTTCGATGAAATTTGGTAGATATTCGTTTTCGCTCTTTCTGAACCGAGCGACATCACTTTCATGCCAATTCATTAACATTTTTGAAGGTGGGAGGGTCCCTTTAAATAAAATTGAAATGTTTTTACAAAAACGCAATTTGAAAAAAGGCATCAATCGATTTTGATAAAAATTACATATTTGAAATCAGCTCACCGTCAGCTGTCGAATGGTTGGTATATGTCCTATATACGGCCTTGGTATATGCAGGGGCGGATCCAAGGTGGGGCCAACGGGGCCATGGCCCCCCCCCCCCCCAAGACGGTCAAAGGGGGGCCATACTATCTTTTGGCCCCCCCCCCCAAGACATAAGTCAAGAAAACTAAAAAATAAACATTCTCAAAGTTCCTATGCTGAAAAACTGAAATATTGCTTTGATGATTGAGTGACCTTGGGGCAAACGTGAAAAACTCTGCCAACCAGAGTCAAAATGGCCTGTGCCGGCGAGGGTTAACATGTAGGAGAAATCGACATGATATCACATTGTTATTCGCATTCATAGGCACGTATTCTGTATTGTGTACTGGTTGGTTTTAATTGCAAATTTGTTGGAAAATAAGATTGTCATTGGGCACTTTTTTAAAGAAAAAGGTATTTTTAACGTTTACCATGGCCAAATGTGTGATTCTTGTCAGAAAACTGAGGAATGATCATAACAACACTGAGTTTAATCAACTTAAGCTTGAGAAATTTCAGAAGCTTTTTAATAGCTGAAGCTTCTTCATAGTTCATTAACACTATTAACCAGTAGCTTTCTTGTCTCATACCTGAAGGTATATGGACTTAAACCTCTCCCGTATTGGCGTTTTGTCAGCCGCGAACGTATGGGGGCGGGGTTTCATTGCCGTTGCCCCCATTGCCGTTTGGCCGCTGATCGAGCTAGAGCTTCGCGAGAAGGAAAAAAACGAGCGTGCTGCCTGTGACGAGAGGAAGACGATGATACCCAATTTAAGGTCCTAGGTCATTGGTTCATGGTTGACCTTCCAGGTCAGGTCAATGACCTAAAAGTCGGGAAAATTGGGACCTGTTAGAGCGTCGTAAGTGTAGCTGAGCTTTTTCGGGGTGCTGATCACCAATATCGTGTTAGTGTTGATCTTAGAAGATGTCTTCATGCATTTAGGCCAGGTCGGGTCAGGTCAACCAGTAGTGGTCCTGCCGGGTATTCGTAGTACGTGTCACTGTCAACCGCCTCTGACAGCTTCGTAACATGTTACGAAGGCACCAAAAGTACTTCGTAAATGTTCAAATGGTTGCTGAATTCGAGTTCAGCTCCAAAAACTAGCCTAGAAACATGTAAAACTCGAAAAAGTGAACTGAGGTCATCAAAGGTCAATGACCTGACCTGACCTTCAGGTGACCTTCACACCCATCCAAATGCATGGGACCAACATGTTTGACCAACATGGGATCACATGTTTGAACGCTTGAAACCACGAAAAGACTGCAAACGCGCGGCTAATGCGAGCCAACATACTCCGAATCGCGATCCCGGCCAAGCATGGTCTCGAGAAAAAGGTCACAGGTCAAAGGTCACTTGGGTCAGGGTAATTAAAGTTTTAGGGTAGATGCAAAATTGACTAAATCGAGGGTACTGAAAGTTTCGTCGCGATTAGCCGTTTTTACGCGAGTTATTCGCGAAAAACCGAGGGGCTGGGGTCTGTTCGACCCCTCACCCTATACGGGCGAGGGTTAAAGGGACTATCCCACCTTCTAAAATGTTGTTAAAACCAGTTAAATTGTGCCCGACTTTATAGATTGGATGACCAGGAACACGGTTCTGGCATTTATTTTTCATTAAACATCTTAGGCTTCCCATATTCCAAACACAAACTTTCAAATATGTGACGTCACAGCCCAAAATTACCTCCTTCCCCAGGCCACATTACTGTCATAAAGCTGATTCTTTTTACTCTGTAGGCACCACAACAAAGTTCAGACCAAGTTTTAAGCGATTTTTCAACGAACAAACCCATTTAAATCAGAATGACTAAACGAGGTGACGTCACACTAACGGTCGCTCCATGTTGAAGATAGGGCCTTGTACAAGGCCCATTTTCAAAAGAAGGGAACGAATTTCTTCAACACCAAGAGGCCGCGGGGGTTGCAACCTAGATAGATAGTGGTTTCTGAACCTCGCCGCAAACTTGGCTATCTCAACTCAAACCCCATGTTAAAGGTGGGATAGTCCCTTTAACAGAGGAAGACACAATTTCCCCTTACCTGTACTTGTTTTTGAAGTGTTTCAAGCGTCATTTTGAGAAGGTGCTTTATTCAGTTAGGGGGTGCATGTGCACCCTAAAACCCCTAATGCTCCACCATATGTCACTAACTAAACCCACTATTTGAAGTTATACTTAATGACACATGGGTAGTTTTCACTTAATTTTCACTCAACATAGTAGGATAATTAAGCATTAAATGCAAAATTAGAGCTTGAGATTGTCCGGCATTTAGCCCAACAGGATACCTCTTCAATCGTCCTAGCTGAATCCAGCATAAGCTCAGCTTGTCTGAACTCGGACACACCATCAACATTGCCGAGTCTGAATTTGAGCTCGACGCCGGCCCATGGGCCTGAACTTTGTGGTCATGGGCGCGGGAGCTGGGGGTCAGTGGGGGCAGCCTGCCCCCACAACTCTGGGGCCGTGGGGGCGCTGCCCCTGACAACTTTTCAGGGCTAGGAACCGTCGGGGCAGCTTGCCCTCCCTGAATTAGCGGTTGTGGGTCACAAAGGAAAACTAAAGGGAAGAAAACATTTAAGAAAAAAAAATCCCCCTCTTTACCTGGCTTGACAGCTCATGTGGAAGATTTAAGCCTTTTTTCTACGTTACCAAAAAGGTAGTTCCTTGACTCAGCTGAGACAAAATATCTCACTTTTTGCTAATGTTTTCGTTTCGTTTTTTTCGATGAAAAGGCGAAGGGTGAAAAATAAGTGGCCTAAAACCGGTGAGAAAACTAGATTTGGGGGTACCCTAGGTTTGGCTAGTCCCAACCGGTTGCCCCCCCCCCCCAAGACGGCCGGCTGGATCCGCCCTTGGGTATATGTCGTTTCTTTTGAGCATGACATGACCTTCCGACGAACCGTGAGCGGAGCGCAGGTCAACAGAGAAGTCCGCAAACTGTTTTTTTTTTTTATTACTTAGGGTGCTATGATTAATTTCACGGCTGCCGTTCGTCCTGCCCCTTCCCCGGTGTCTGATTGCGGCCGGTTGGTCGATGTGTGTTTCCTTCACTGCTGCCCCACCCTTGTGTGTTGTCGCTGCAGCGCCGCTGTTCCCCTTGAGTGAGTCCTCCACTGCTGCGCGCTGACCGGTGTGTGTTGCCGTGCAGCGCTGACGGGCACAGCCACCGCCTGCACGGGCCGCCGCCGACGGCGGCGCTCCGGCCGCCTGGGCCGCCCGCGCGCGCTGGAGGCGCCCGGTCTGGGGCGCAGCGAACCCGGACTGCAGGGCTCGCTGGCAGAAGACCGCATCAGTCCCACCGAGTCCGAGTGAGTCGGCTGGCCGCGCGCCTCACAGCGGTGGCTCAGGCGCAGCTCCGCGAGCCAAATGTTCACAAATACGCATAGGGGAAGACAGGGGAACACCGACTCCCTTAACCTTTTAGGGTCTAGTCAGGTAATTGTTAGCCAAATGATCAATCTCTCAGTTTCATTGGATTGTCGCATCAATTTAACATGCATATCAACCAATTGTTTTCTTGTCGTTTCGTTCATAATTGCATTATTCCACATTTAGTAAATGTCTACATTTTTCGGGGTAACACCGACCGTTGGGTAACACCGACCGTTGGGTAACATTCCCCGAGCTCAGCAGGCAACGAAATTCGCAGATTGCTGAACCTAACCTAACCTTTGCAGTTGTTCTTCTTATCGTAAAGATCGAGGCGTTTTAGTATAATTATAAATGACAGTGGAAACGATTTTATTATATCCCTGGTAGAATGTAGTACTCATTTATATAACTAGACGACTTTAAGTCCCAAAATTTCATTTTCTCAAATTTTTTTTATTTTCCTCTAAAAAGCAAACATAGCAACAACGTTCTTTCTTTATTTGAAATGCGTCACTCCTGGGTCAGGTATCACAATGTGCTATGAAATACCAAATTTCCCAAGTGGGCGGTGCTACCCAAGTGTCTGCATTTTTCTTTTAAAAAACTTCAATATGGCAGCATGAAAAAGCTCGCTCGAGCAGGAGCACGTAATGCTTGGATGAGTCCCTAATTAACTATGGAAAAAAATTAATACTTCAGCAGTAATGTCTGTCAAATAACATCAGTTTTCTTCTGCTAATTATGCTAGAAAAGTATAAAACGTACCTATTCACGAAACGTAAAATTAGGAATTTCTCGCAAATCACCTAAACCAATGCGGTGCACTGCCCATATACCTGCACTTCTGTTGTCGTCACGCTGCCAAAAGACAGTCAGCTGTCGCCGGACCTTTTTATTTTTCTGATATCGGGGTGGGCGGTGTTCCCCAAAGGGCGGTGTTCCCCCATCTTCCCCTTAGTATGTGAGTCCATTAATTCTATTTGTGACAGGTTCCTGGCTACCCCTATGATGTGGTGGCAGGGTGTTTAACTAAGACCCCCTTGAAAGATCTAACCAGCCGATTTTCAAAATTCAAACCGCATTCGATTTACCTCAACGTGGTCTACAAATTGGAAAAATCCCCAAAACATAGGTGGGTGGGGGTGGGGGGGGGGGTGGCGAAGCATGCAGTAAAGGGTAAAAACTGCGAATTTACTGGTTTTTGTTTTTGTACTTGTTTTTGTTCTTGTATACCTACTTGTTTTAGTTTTTGTACTTGGCTTTTGTTTTGTGCTTGTTTTTTGTATTTGTTTCTGTTTTTGTACTTGTTTTTGTTTCTGTGCTTGTTTTTGTTTTCCTACTTGTATTTGTTTTTGTACTGGTTTTTGTTTTAGTACTTGTTTTTGTTTTTGTACTTCTATTTTTGTTGTTGTGCCTGTCTGCCTTTATGTTTTGCTTTTGTGCTTGTTTTTGTTTTTTACTTGTGTTTTTTGTACTTTTTTGTACTTGTTTTCGTTTTCGTACTTCTTTTTGTTTTTGTTCTTTTTTATTTTTGTACTTGTGTTATTTCTTGTATTTTTTTCCTTTTTGTACTTGTACTTGTTATAGTAGTTGTGCTTGTTTTTCACTTGTTTTTAGTTTTGTACTTGTTTTTGTTTGCGTAATTGTTTTTTTTAATTGATTTTGTTTTTGTAATTGTTTTTGTATTTGTGCTTTGATTTGCTTGTTTTTTTTCCTGTTTTTGTATTTGTGCTTCTACTTGTTTGTTCTTTTTTGTACTTGTACTTGTTTAGTACTAGTTTTTGTATTCTTTGGTATTTGTGGTTGTACTTGGCATGCACTTGTTTTCCTACCTATTTTTGTACTTGTTTTTGTACTTGTTTGGTACATGTTTTTGTGCTTGTTGTTTTTTCATTGTTTTATTTTTTTGTTATTGTTCTTTATTGTTCTTGTCTTTGTTAATGCTATTGTTATTACGGAGCGAGCGAAGCGAGCGTAGTCTTTCCTTAGTAGATTAACGGAAATTTCTGAGTATGAGCGGCCGGCCGGCCGTGCGGACGCTTTTGCGAGGCTTATATCTCAGCAACCACTTGACCGATTTACATGCGGTAATTTTTGTAGGGTAGCTTCATTCCTTCTACCAAGTATTGCCCAGTAAACATGCCGACGTCGGCCCGACGTCGGCCGACGTCGGGGTGACGTCGGCAACTCGGCATCGCCATGCCGACGTCGGCCCGACGTCGGTCCAACCTCGGCACGACGTCGGCTGGATGTCGGATATGCCCGCATGTTCCGACGTCCAGCCGAGGTCCAGCCGACGTCGGGCCGACGTCGGACCGAGATCAATTGCTGAGGTCCAGCCGACGTCGGGCCGACGTTGGGGCGACGTCGGACCGACATCGGCCGCTGTTTTGACCGTTAAAATAATATAAAATACATGTTTCATGTTTCATAAAGAGCTTCTGTATTCAAAATATCCTCAGGAAACTCAAATCTTCCTCCACGCCGCAACCCCCTGATCGGGACTGGACGGGAAACTTTATCCCATTTGGGATTGCCCGTAAGCCGAGCTCGCCCGTAGCCGGGTGCGGTGAGTGCTTGGGGGCTGCTCGGCCTATCCTTTGGTCAGGCTCAGCCCCGGCAACTCACCAGGGCCGGGCCCAGTTCATATAGAAAGGCCAGTCGGCAAGTGTCACTTTGCCAAAGTGCCACTTATCAAAGGGACACTTTGGGAAACGTTGGTGCAGGTGTGTAAGAGTGGCTATATGAATCCATTGTGGGGTCGCCCTTTCCAATAAGTGTCACGTAACAGCAATGGGACCAGGGACTCTATATGAACTGGACCCAGGGTGCTCGCCAAGAAGACCAATGTCTCCATCCTATGATCCTTCCGGCTCTGAAATGGTCTTGTCAGACCAAAAGGGCATAACCGGACAAAACAAACCAAATTCGTTAACTGGCTGCGTGGTGTAGTGGTTAGCGCACTAACTTCGCGTTCGAATGACACTGGGTTCGAATCCCATCACCGGCTGATGCTTTTGGCGTGTTGTCCCACACTGAAAGAAAAAATGACACCAAATGGGGGGTAGGGTGACTCTGCCAAAAAGTCCGCCCCACAGGGGTGTCAAAACAACTCCCTTTTGGAGCATCATAACACTGCAATATGGTGTCCATAAACGCCGTTTCTTGGCGCACGTAGACTCCATATTTCGGAGTTCGGATGCCCAAAAAAAGTTTTTTTGACACCCCTGTGGGGCGGACTTTTTGGCATGTTCCCGTAAATAGAGTCAAGACTCCCTTAGAACTCTTTCTTTTTGGGGTTATATGATGCCCCAAAAGAGACTCTTTTGATACCCCTGTAGGGCGGACTTTTTGGCATATCACTTTACATGGAGTCACGACATAACCGAGAGATACTCCAAATGTTTTTTTCGGAAGGTCCCAGATAAGACTTCAATGCCTCCATCCGGTTTTAGATTCGACTCCAAGATTGGAGTCAAATCCATATGGCCACGCGTCTGAAAATCTTAGGCTTTATTATTTACAGCATGAGTCTTTCCACATAGTTTTAGCCGCTAAAGCATTATCACACAATCACCTTACATCATACAGAAGTTGTGATGGCCCTGGTTTATACCACAAGCTGCCAAACTCGTAAAAATTATTAAAGAAAGACAAGATTCCTCAAGCCTTCATAGAAAGAGCGGAAAGTTTGACCCGAAAAAAGGCTGTGACAGTTAACGACATCTATGAGAAAAGTTAAAACTAGCAGTACCAGCCGATGCCAGTGCCACCTTTATGACATCCGTTTAAGGGAGTCATAGAGGAGTCCGAAACTTTACTTAGGGGGTATACTTTTTCCGTTTAGACGGTTAAACATTCCCGTGATGAGGCGTGACACTTTAGTTAGAAAGGCGTATATTTTCAGCGATGTATTAAGTAGCAGATCTTCAAAAGAAAGCCGCATCATCAAAGGTAATTTTCAAAAGGGAGTCGTAGGTCATTGGGGATCATTCAACAGGGAGTCGTACACCAAAAGGAGACCTTGAAAAGGAATTCATACATTTGAACTAAGGCGTCCTGTATTATTTAAGACGAAACGTACTTTTTTAAAGGGATTCGCACATTTCCAATAGGGAATCGAACATCTTTAAAAGGGAATAGCACATTTTTAAAGAGACTCGCACATGTTCAAAAGGGAGTCGCTCATTTTCAATAGATTCCCACAGTTTCAAAAGAGAGTCACTTATTTTCAAAGGAAAGTCATATATTTTTAAAAGAGAGTCATCTTTCTTTAATCATGAGTCGAACATTTTGACAAGAGAGTAAAACACCGTTTCTGGGAGTCAAATGTGTAAAAGGAGTCTCGACTCCATGTTAAATGAGTGTAGAATGTGGAGTCGAGACACCTCATTTCCAACGTGACTCTCATAAAAAGGTTTCTTACTCCCTTGCCAAAATGCACGACTCCTTTTTTGAGATAGACACTCCCCAACAAAGGCGTCAAGTATCCCTCTTTTGGTGTCGAACACCCTCCCAGAACTCACTGATCCGATTTAAGGGTATCATGACCCTCTCAGGAGGACACCATATTTTGACGTCGTCGGAAACTGACGCCAAAAGATGGGGCGATGACCATACATTTTGGAGTCGGACACCAAAATTTAAGCACTCAGACTCTAAAACATGGAGTCGTCGTGGAGGTGGGGTGTCAAAATTTTTATCAGTGCAGTAAACATGCCGACGTCGGCGACTGGGGGGCTCGAATCCCGCCGCCGGTTGATATTTTTGGCGCGTTGTCCCAATAAACATGCCGACGTCGGCCCCGTCGGTCCAACGACAAACGATCTCGTCAACCTCGGCAAACGATCTCGGCCCGACGTCGGCTCGACGTCGGCTGGACTTCGGCTGGACGTCGGAACATGCGGGCATATCCGACGTCCAGCCGATGTCGGGCCGAGGCTGAACCGACGTTGGGCCGACGTCGTCATGTTTACTGGGTGGACTATTCCCGATGCATGTGGGTGACCTCTTATGCACGTGCCACGTGCAAAACGAAGAGGTGTCAGTTTTGTAATTGTTGTAATATATCGGTAACCACTTGGCCGATTGCGCTGAAAGTTGGCATGTAGGTAGGCACCCACCAGGCACTGCATATCCATGTGCCAGAGTTGGGGTGCTGCTGCACGTGCGCACGTGCAGGGGTCGTTTCCAGATCTCGAGAACGGCTGGACCTATGGCGCTCAAATTTGGTACACGGTTAGGGACCAGTTAGTAATGTGCCGTGCACAAGTCAGTTGGGACCCATTTTGCACGTGCGCACGTGCAGGGTGCCGCTTCCAGATCTCGAGAACGGCTGGGCCGATTGTGCTCAAATTTGGCACATCGCTAGAGACCGGTTAGTAGGGTGCCGTGCGCAAGTCAGTTGGAGGTACCCCCTCGAAATTTCGCACGTGCAAGGCCCACCCTCTCGCTCGCTCCGTTAGTCGCCTCAAAAGGCGTTATACTGGTTATTATTGTTTTTATTATTGTAAGTACCTATTATTGTCATCATTTTTCATCATTAGGTATATTACATTCTTATTATCATTGTTTGTGTTATTGATATTTTTTATGATTATTATCATTGTTATCAAATTATTATAATTTTTATTATGATGTTTATTATTATTCTTCTTATTATTATTCTTCAACTGCTCGCCAGGGCCATGTTTTTTTTTTTAGCTGATTTAGACGCAACTACTGCCTATCCATACAAAATGAACCAGAAACTGACACGCATCAATCATCATCAAAATGAGCATTTTGAAAAACAATTGGCGGATTCAGGTGATTGAATTTTGAAGGTATACAAAATACATAACAAATCGTTTTTGTAGGTGCGGTCACCAAAATGGGCTAGCGATGGTCTTATCATGCTACAAAAAACATGTGTTAAATTGCCTGAAATTAGATTGATATGCGGCGTCAGGACACCAAAGTTAGGAGTCGACATCGACCTCCCTTTCTTTTTCCTAGAACTGCGTATGATCCACCTCTTGCTCACTTGTGAACATGTAATGCCCACGAATTATGTTCCCTTCAATCGGTATTACTTTGCTACTTTACATGCCGAGCATCTTGATCCAAGAAACAAACATTCACTGTGTGTACCTAAATGCTTCCAAATGTTCAGAACCTGGACACGCCAATAATTCTCGGAAATATACCTATAGCTTGCAAGTGTTGGTGATAACTTGAACCTTTCAGGCACTGCATGCAAACTGGTGTACACAGTTATAATCAGCATCATGACGGCTGCCCAAATGACTCACTTCACGAATAGGACCTCCCGATTTCCGATGCTCTGGAACTGCCCCTGATGAAGGTATCAACCGGCGTTTCAGAGATATTCACTGAGGGGTGGATGAAAACAACTCCTCTCTACCACTAATAGTTAACCAATGGCAGCACAGCTTTTGACACATTTGTCAACGACACTTGCTTTTTGACCATTTTGTCTGGTGTCTGCCAAGCGTATCTAATGGTTAAAAGGCTGATGGTTGTTCCCCTGCCGGTCACAGGAGCTCCCGTCTGGTGCTGACCTCCTGGATCACGGTGGTGTCGTCGGTCACCAGCGTGTCCACCGTCACCAAGTACGACACCACCGTGTCGCTGGGAATGCTGTGCACCATCGGCGGCGCCTCCTTCTTCAAGACGTGCCCGTAAGGAGCGGCTGTGTGGCGGGCGGCCCGGCCGGGCGCGCCGCCGTCAGCGGCCGGCCGGAGCGGCCTCCGGCGCCGGCCCGGAGCGGCCTCCGGCGCCGGCCCGGAGCGATCGCTGACCGTGCTTTGGCCAGCCGCTGTGCAGCTGAACACACCAAACGTACATTGTTTGTGTCAAACGAGAAGTCGAGCATCCGTCGCCAAGGAAATATCGAAACCAGCAATCCGAGAGATGTGAACGTTTTGCGATAAAGGTTATCTGAGTGGCTCCCCTCTTTTTTGTTCCTTTAGGATGAGAGTGACTTGGTTATGCTAGTGCATTGAGCTCATGATGTAGAAGCATATCGGTTGTTATATACTAATTGTTATCGTTTCGTCATGCGTGGTTATTTTTTAAAGTGTATTAGTGCTGCCGTGTTAATAAACTGATGTTTCAAACCGGTAGTATGATCAATATTTCACATTTATTTACTCACAGCACCCATACGCTTCGCTGATCATTTTTTTTTTTGGCATTAGAAATGTAAGGCAAATCTTGCTTGACGAGCAAGTTAAAACTTTTCAGGCGCCCACAATTTGACAAACAATTCAACGTTGTCATAGGTCATAAGAAAAACCATCTTCTCTTCGGTTTTATACATTTCTGTCATATAATCATTTGTATATTTGTAACGGTCTCTGTTTATGCCAACAATGACCAGATGACGAGCAAGACGCAACAGGCAGACCAGGGCATTCGGATGTTACTTATTGGGCACGAAAACACAACACACACACACACACACACATCAAACAAATCAATAAATAGCAACCGCACATCTCAAACTCTTGCACTGAATTCCACAATGCCACAACCGCACATCTCAAACTCTTGCACTGAATTCCACAATGCCCATATCTAGCACCCTCCCTTTCACAAAAAAAAACACACGAGATTACCTACTGGAGCAACGAACAGGACTTTCTCAATGACACCATTCAGTTCCACCAGAACATTTTTTAAAACACTTATAGGAAAACTTGAGTTGCTTGATTCGCAGTACATCTAAAATAATCGTGCTGAATCTAAGAAATCACGTGCCACATCACATTCACAATTCCTACATCGAGCAACAGCCTACACATACCGCGCCAAAGCAGCGGCTCGCATCCTAGCGCTCGGCTCGCTGAACATGCTCGAATAAGATGACATTGGCATAGCAATAGGTTAAAGTCGACTGCAGCTGTGTTCACTGCAGTTAGCGCTACGACTTGGCCTAACTTGGAGCTTATTTGTGCGTGATGACAGGTTTTGGTCAAATCCCAATGGTATGACTGGTTTGGTGCAGATGACACTAGTTTGTACCACGAACTATTTGACAGTTGGCAATCGGTAGCATGCGGGCTAGGCTGTGGCTAAACTGTGGTTGCACTGTGGCTGGGCTGTGGCTGAACTGTGCTTGAACTGTGGCTGGGCTGTGGTGCTACTGTATGTGTGGGCTGCCGGCTGTGACTGTTCTATGTGACTGTGCTGTGGCTGTAACTGTATAACTTGGCCATACAAGTTAGCCTGCATGGCTAACTTGTATGGCTGGCATGTATGGCTGAGCTGTGGCTGTTACTGTATGTATGGATGCGCTGCATGGCCGGGTGTTTACTGTACGGCTAAGATATATGGCTGCGCTGTGGCTGTGGCTGTATGGCTGCGCTGTCTGCTCGGCGGGTTCAGAGCTGGTCGGAGAGCAGCGGCACGGCACACACTGCCCGGAACCGGCGGCACGGGTCGCCGGACGCTGCTGCCGGACGCTGCGGGTCGGTCTCCTCCGGCTCCGGCCGCCTCCACCTGACGGACAGCACAGGTGGTACTCAGAGCTGCTGCCGGCCTTCAAACAATGCCTGCAGTCGAGTCGGATCAGACTTGGCTTTCAGCTTTGACAACTTTGGGAGGGTGACATATGTACCTATATGTGACCAGAGAAGGATGCTGCACCTATCCCAATCCACCAGTTGGATGAAAAGGTCCCCTTGTTACTCATTGCGCAGGCCTAGCGTCTATCTCGTGGGTGTGCAGTAACTTTGGGGACAATCAGAGCAGCGCAGCCCAGTCTGCGTGATAGGCTGCACAGACGGTGCCGAGCTTCGGGCGGCCCGAATAAACCCGAAAAACATCACAGCTCTTGGCGTCGCTCCTAGTTACCCCACACTGTTCAGCTCTCAGCATTGGCGTCAAAAGCGGGGGGGACGGGGGGACGCTTCCCCCGACGAGAAATCCGAGGGGGACGTCCCCCCAAAAAGAAACGCCCAATGATGCTTAAAAATAGCAATTTGCAGCGGTTGTTCGCAATGAGGAACCATGTGAACAGAAATAATCCAACAAAAGAAATTTGATTCTGGTAAGTTCGAGTGCACAAATAAGACCTCTGGTGAATGTAAATGTGCTTGAGTAGGCTGTTAAATTCGGACCCGTCAGAGATCGGTAAACAAGGGTGGCGCCACGGGGAGGGGGATGAAGGGATTTCCGCTCCATGAACAGCACCGGTGCATTAGGAAATTTGTGGCATAGATCTTAGTCATGTAAGTAGCAGCCTTAGTCACAGCCTAGACTTCAGCTAATTGGAGCTGGAAAATGACCTCAAATGACTCAGACGATACTTTTTTAAACCTATGAGTGAAGTAGACCATAAAACATCCGTCATGTGACCGATATATGATAGGTATACAAGTTCCGTGACCTAGGATGACCTGGCCTTGACATGAAAAAAACGAAGTTAAAGTTAGGTACCCTCAGGGTATCCAACTTCTAAGGCATAGGTATATCAAGGAGTGCGTAAACCAAAAGTGAGCCTGATCGGACTTGTTAGCCGGCGGCCAGAGCATTAATTGTGAAAAAGCCAAAATTCTAATAATTTTTCTTTGACATGACCTTTGACGTCATCGGTGACCTCGAGGTCAATGAAAATAGGTTTCGCTCAGCAGTTTTTCCAGCGCTATCAGACGCCGTTTGAATTTTAACGACCAGCCGAGTAGTCCAGAGATAAGAAGGCCTCTGTGGAGCCCCCCCCCCAGTCACTTGCGTTATGGAAAATACCCTAACCCTCGCCCGCACATGCCATTTTCCCATCCTAGAACGCACATGGGGGGGGGGGTGGTTGCCACCCCCCCGCGCCATTTCGTTCCTGTTGGAGATAGAGCTTAGCAGTAAAGACCAAAAAGATTCTTTGGGAAAAGACGAATCCAATGATACCCAGTTTTACCTTCTCAGGTCAGTCATTGACCTTCCAGGTCAGGTCAAACTAAAAAATGTTGCTGTTTTGGGTCACCGTTGGATATCAAGTGCGCTGCTTATCAAATACCGATGACGATGCTGTTTTCTGGTGCCAAGCCAGCTAGAACCTCTTTGTCACACTATCCGACCAGAATTTTGCTGCTGAGGTCATTTCAGGTCAAGTTAGGTCAAGGTCAATTATATGTGTTTGTATGTCTGTGTGTGTCTGTGTGTATACTGATGTGTGCACCGATCGTTTTTGGGTCCATATCACATGAAATCATGATCTGAGAAGCTTTTACCAAAAATGCAGTCAAAAAACTTCACAAAAAGTAAATTCAGCTTGCCTAAAACGCAATTATCTTAGATGACCTAGGTTGACCTTGACCCTGACCTTGACCCCTGTACATCGTCGAACAACATGTTCCATGATAGGTGGGAGGTAAGACTGGCAAAAAAGGCCGAAATCAGGGTGTCAAAAGCTCACAAGACCCATGGCAAACGCAAGATGTTGAGAATTGGCCATTTGGGTCATGACATGACCTGAAAAACAAGGTCATATCTCCGAAACCAAAAACCACAGAAACTTGAAATTTTCAGTGGACATCAAGAAAGGATAGACGAGCAGCTATACGAAAAATCAGCTTTCTAGCTTTAAAAATGTTGAGTGCAGAGCAGAAAGACTGCCTGGGGGGGTGGCAACCCCCCCCCCCATGTGCGGGCGAGGGCTAATCCGCGCACGACCGCCCCACTCACTGACTTCGACTGGATACGGCCTGCCACCAACTGCAACCATACCCGTCAGGGGGCTCATAAACATCGAGCGCCCGTGGCGCTTCGAACCCGTTCGCGCTTGTTGTAACCGGGAACGAGTGCTCTCACCACGCGGAGTCCAACGCTTTAACGACTGAGCTACGGGACCGGCTACTTATGGTGCAACTGTCAGGAAAGACGGCACCCATCAGGGTGTTGAGCGCAGACTGCCGCCCGACGGCGACCACTGACCTCTGCAGCAGACTGCCGCCGTCTGACCGGCCCTTGGAGACTGCTATGACCTGACCACTGACCTCTGCGGCAGACTGCCGCCGTCTGACCGGCCCTTGGAGACTGCTATGACCTGACCACTGACCTCTGCAGCAGACTGCCGCCGTCTGACCGGCCCCTGGAGACTGCTATGACCCGACGGCGACCACTGACCTCTGCAGCAGACTGCCGCCGTCTGACCGGCCCCTGGAGACTGCTATGACCCGACCACTGACCTCTGCAGCAGACTGCCGCCGTCTGACCGGCCCCTGGAGACTGCTATGACCCGACCACTGACCTCTGCAGCAGACTGTCTGAGGACTGCAGCGGCAGCGTCCAGCCGTGGACCTCCAGGGAGCAGAGCAGCAGCGGCACGCAGCTCGGAAGGCGCGTCGTCAGCGGCTCCTCGTCAATCTGCGCGCACACGTACACACTCCTCGTCAATCTGCGCACATACGTACACACTCCTCGTCAATCTGCGCACATACGTACACACTCCTCGTCAATCTGCGCACACACGTGCGCAGATTGACGAGATTGACTCCTCGTCAATCTGCGCACACACGTACACACTCCGCGTCAATCTGCACACACACGTACAAACTCCGCGTCAATCTGCGCACACACGTACACACTCCGCGTCAATCTGCGCACACACGTACACAGTGTTTGCACACAGTGTTTGCGGCGGTAGCTCATTACGCGTTGACCAATCATATTGCGTAGTTAACCATCGCCGGCTGAGGGGGGGGGGAGGGTGCCGCCCCTATCCCATACGGTTTTTCCCGCTATAGCTGCAAACACGCGGGCGATAGAGAGCTTTAACTTAGCGCATACCAAACTGTTGATTCAAGCCGGACCTTGGGACACCAACCGCGTTTTCAGGTCAGGTTAAGTCACCGACCTCTGAGGGCATAAGTGAACCTCTGCATGGTACTCAGATGTCGCAAATTCGCAACGCCCTCAGCGTCAGAGGAACATTCACAGGGAGATGAAACTTACAGGACGTAGTAACTAGTATCCTCCAGAAGTCTCACAAGTTATTTATCTCGGATTTTCCTAAAAGTCACATGAGATCAGGTCGGTCACATAACCTTATCCCTATAACCCAATGGGGGAAAAAAATGAAAATAGCTATTTTGGCGCCGGGAACGATCTCATACTATCTACAGGGTGACACAAAAAAAGCGGTCATCACCAAAATTCGAATAACTTCGGAAGTTTTATTCAGATCATCACCAAACTTCGGCCACTTTAGGTCACACCTATGTAGCAGACATCCACCAAGTTTCAAGTCTTCACTACGAATACTTTTAGTACAGTGTGTGTTTTACGGACGCTCCACAATGTGCTCCAGGTGAGCGCCCCGGCGCTGCAGGGCGTAGGCACACCTGCATCCGGCGGGCAAAGTTGCCGATAACCCGATAAGAATAACGTTTCAGGGGTAGCACACCCCCTGAGCACTGTCTCCAGAGGCCATTGCACTCTGTAAAGTGCACAGCCATCGGGTTATCGACAACTTTGCCCGCCGGATGCAAGTGTGCCTACGCCCTGCAGCGCCGTGGCGCTCACCTGGAGCACATTGTGGAGCGTCAGTAAAACACACACTGTACTAAAAGTATTCGTAGTGAAGATTTGAAACTTAGTGGATGTATGCTACATAGGTGTGACCTTAAGTGGCCGAAGTTTGGTGATGATCTGAATAAAACTTCCGAAGTTATTCGAAATTTGGTGATGACCGTTTTTTTGTGTCACCCTGTAAGTCACATGGAATCGTGATTTTATGCATTCTTTGCAAGGTCCGATGCTTCACTTTTGCATCGCCGATCTTGCTTAACGTCATTTATGACGTCACAAGGGTTACAAGGGTCATAAGGGTTTGTCGTCAATAACTCCCGATCGAATTGAGCTAGCGAGTCAGGAAAATCACCAATAGACTCAAGAAGATCTGCCGAATCGAATAATATGCAATATGACCTCCTCCGACCAGCTTTGTAGCCTGTGGGCTCTGACCTGACCTTGACCCGAGGTCAACATCTCAAGCTGATCTGATTCGAATAAAAAGCATACCATTCGACGCGCCTGAATAAGGAAACACGATTATGTCAAAATCGCGTCTCTGCGACCGTTTTTTTTTTCTCGCAAAGTTGTTTATATAAAACGGAACCGTGCCGCCTTGGACCACTTGACCTCATCCCAGAGGTCGCCGGTTGACAGGAGACTTTAAAGTCGGGTATCAGTCGCTGCGTCATGTAATGGCACACACGCTCGTTTTTTTTTTCGGTGACGATCTAACTCCATCAGGTGCGATCGACGAGGGGGGTTGCACCCCCCCCCTACCCTCACCCCTGGGGGGTGTACAATTGACCAACGCGATGGTACTGAAAGTTTCCTCGCAATGGGCTGCTTTTTTACGCGAGTTATTTGCGAAAAATCTTAGGGAGGACTGCATCAACAAGGCGGCGGGGGTTACCAACCAGCTGAACCCTGATTGGCTGACGCTGGCCTCTGCCACAGATGGCAGTTCTTGGGGTTTTCCGTAAATCACTAACTTCCTGCGTAAGGTACTGGTTTGGGAACAAGAAATGAAATATATTCTCCTAGGCTAAGGTGATCTTTTGGCCGTAAAAGCTCCTGATTTGTGCTAGTCTCACACCAAGCTACAAAACTGCTATTTCAGTTCAACCTCAATGCTAAAAGTGGTAGGGTAGCCTGGGGCAAGACGCCCCAGATAATTTATTTTGCTACATAAATTTTGTCCCACATCACCTGAAAGGCCAAATTTGTGCTCAATGCGTTCTTTGGACATTTTACTTTAAATTGCACCCCTCAAATTGATTCACTTATGATCGGACTCCAAGCTAGGAAGTGATTTGTGAAGCAACTGCAAATGGGGCATTTTGCCCCAACCCCAGGGCAAAACGCCCCACGGCCTGGGGCAAGTAGCCCCATACCTTAGATTAAAGATTTAACATGGTAGTTGGCTAAATCTCATGTGAGAGGTCCGTTAGACCTCTGGAGGCACGGCACTGAAGTTAGCACATTCCATCCTGTCAGGTGCTCAGCATATGACACTGTTGTATGAGCACCTACCTCATAAGACCAAATAATAAATTATTGCAATGCAAATGTTAACAAAATAGGTACTTCCTTTGCCATCCAGTTGCTGAGGAAAATACACATAAAGGCATAGAAACTTACTGTTCGCCAGCTACCGAACATTAGAAAGTGGGTAGCCCCAACAACACAAGAGGTAAAACGCCCCAGGGGCTTTTTGCCCCGCGACCTACTGGGGCGTTTTACCCCATCACGTAGTTCGGTCAGAGAACAACGCCTTGCACTCCAGTAAGACATAATTTAACACGAACCAACCCGGCATGATAAGCGTTAGACAATAGTTGTTCAAAATACATAAAAGTCGTTAACCTAATGTGGACCATAAAAGAACGCCATGATTCATAATCTGACAACAAAACATAAAAATCACTCAAAAAACACATTTTTGGCTATATCTCCCGAAAGAGTCATCACAATTTCTTTCCAGTCTGCTCATATAATGATCATATAGTGCACGTTTTATAGAAGAGATGATGTTTCCCCAGAACCTTGCCAGTTCCGAGAAACATCGGTGAGGCGTTTTACCTCGGCGGGGCGACTTGCCCCGGTCTACCCTATATTTTCTTGTACTCACCCAGGCGCATTGGCGTTCGTTGCATTGCTGTAAGTACAATAATAATCCGATTTCCACCGGATATCGACTCATGCCCCAGTGAACCGTTGCAGGGCCGGGGGTTGGGGGTGGGAGTGGGGGTGGAGGCGCTTGTGCTTACCTCTTATATATAATAGTAGTAACAGAGGGATCGGCAGCACTCACCAAGTTGCTGATGGACCGAGCCTCGTCGTAAGAGATGGCGTTGTTGACGTGCTCTGGGGCGAACGGCTTGAACTTGCCGAAGTCGTCCTCTCGCAGCTGGGCCGGGTTCAGGGGCAGCAGGCCCATGTTGGCCGCCAGCATCAGAAACGCAAACGTGACGAAGGCCAGTGTGCCAGACACCTGAAAAGGACCAGCTGGTAAGGCCAAGTTCCTCGTGACAGCTTTTGCACACATTGTGAATGCCATTTACGTTAGTGACCAACTTTCCCACAGGGGGTCTTCGTGGTTGTCACTTCTGCGTGGTTGTCACTTTTGTGTTTACAACGTAAACCTATAAAGGTATAGGTCGGAAGACGAACAGCTCGCGCCTTCGCGCCGTTCCCGCTTGCTTAGGACATACTACTACTAGTAGGTATAGCTCAATGGTTCTGGTTCACAAGACATTGTCAATGCCGCAAGCGCTAGTCCACGTGTTGCTGGGGTGGGGTTGGGGGTGGGGCGTTGATCACCCCCACTTTTTGCCACGCCATCAAAACAGCAGGCCCGCTAAATTTTGTGTAGGTACTTGTAGGGCATTGATTGAAGTTAACTTTCGCCCTGGCAGTGGCGGGGTGGATGCGACCCCCTTAGGTTTTTCAAAGATAGCGTAAAAAGGCGCAGCTTTGGGGCAACCTTTTTACATATGACCTAAAAATTTGAGGTCCGGGTGACCTTGGGTCAGGTCACCAGGGCAGAAAAACCGGTACAAGGTCAAGTAAAAATTCAACTTTCTTTATGCACCTGTCTAACTCACAGTTTTGGACTGATTTCCTTCAATCTTTCGAGATGTGCTCAGTTCACCGAGTTGCATAACATATGGCTGTTTTTTATGTCATTGACCTGAGGTCAGTTAGAGGTCATTACGTCGTAATGTTAAGCCTATGGAAAAATATTCAAATCACTCCAATTCAGAAAACACTGGTGATAACCGCTTCGTTTTATCACTTTTGTGCTTTGATACCACAGTATTTGCCGGTCCCGTAGCTCAGTTGGTAGAGCGTTGGACTCCGCGAGGTGAGAGCACGCGTTCCCGGCTAAAACAGCCTGGGTTCGAAGCGCGACGGGCGCTCGACATTTATGGGCCTCCTGACAGGTATGGTTGCGGTTGGTGGCAGGCCGTAGCCAGGCGAAGTCAGTGAGAGGACCGGCCGTGCGCGGCGATGTGCGCACGTTAAACTTTGAATTCTAAATTCTGCCATAGAACTGGAATTGCGCGATCGGAGGTTAGAGGGCAGGGTCATCGCAACAAGCTTCGCTTAGCGGTGGCTCTGTCCTTGTGAATCCTTCCTATCAAAAGGTTGGGACTAATTTAATTAAAAAAAAGTATTTAAAACTGTCACTTGGTTTTTTCTTTGTTTGGTGTACTTATCCAAGGGTCAGGTTAAAGGGACCCTCCCACCTTCAAAAAAGTTAATGAATTGGCACGAAAGTGATGTCGCTCGGTTCAGAAAGAGCGAAAACGAATATCTACCAAATTTCATCGAAAAATATTCACCGGTTTTCAAGATATTAGACTTTTACTTTTGTTTACTTTTTGGGATCTCCGCTGTTCCTAGCGACTTTATTTGAAAGTGCGGCATTTGTTGCGCGCAAAGCAGCATATACCACCGCGTGCTACCAAACGTTTTAGTAAAAGATTTAAAAATCGTTAGATCTCCGCTGACGTCACAAATTCTAAGGGGGCATACCAATGCACTAGCCCCTTAGAATCCGAAAACTGCAAGTTTGAAATTCCATATCTCCGAATTAAAGCATTTGTCGATGTTGTGAGTGCCCAAACCGGTATTTGCAGGCCATGGCCACCAATTTGGCTATCTCAACTCAAAACTAATGTTAAGGTGGGAGTGTCCCTTTAATTTTTGAGGATGGAGATGCTAGTACTGAGCATTGTGTTACATATGATGATGAAGATGATTAGCCAGATGCTCATTATTTAGGATCAAAATTGATAGAATAGTTGTATTACGTTTCACCCACGGGGCTTCTTCGGATACATATAGGTAAATTCAACAAATAGAACACAGAGATGCAGGCCAAGCTCAGACACAAATCATGCGCATGCAATAAATATCGTGAAAGGATTAACAGATATCTTGAGATTTAGACGAATAATAATTTTAAGATCGACCCCTAAGTGCGTACTGCGCGCTATTATTAGTCAATACGTATACCTATTTAACAGTCGACAACACAATACGTACTACGCGAATTACGCTATCATTCCATCTCAGAATTCGTACTACGCGCACACTAATACATACACATCATTCTAAATCACAGCTAACAATGACCTATAATACCCAATCATAATCTGTGTTCGGCGGTACAGCATATCTACAGGCGCTGCCTACTGGAGCCATCTGTTAGACCCGAAAGGAACTACTGCTACTATGTAGGTATCGATGTCATATAACGCTACCAACAGAACAAGCCAAGGAACAAGCGCTAATGTGCATATGATGATGTGTAGGGAACTGGATGGAGTAAGCGCCATGATGATGTGTTTTTGTTAAGTGCTGGTTTTTTGTTTCTTATCTCAATTGATTCAGTTATTAAAAGGTTCGCTGTGTATGATCTCATTTAATCTCATACACGTTGTGTATGAGATTAAATGTAAAATGTGTGGAGATACATACATTGGTAAAACTAAACGCATGGTGAGGACTAGATTTATGGAACACTTGGGAGACGCTAGGAACAAAAGGAAAGGTACTGACCTAGGTGATCATATACTGACAGCACACCCCACAGCACAACCGATGAACACTGACTTCGAAATTTCTATTCTTCATAGATGCAAGGACGAAGCGAACCTTTTAATAACTGAATCAATTGAGATAAGAAACAAAAAACCAGCACTTAACAAAAACACATCATCATGGCGCTTACTCCATCCAGTTCCCTACACATCATCATATGCACATTAGCGCTTGTTCCTTGGCTTGTTCTGTTGGTAGCGTTATATGACATCGATACCTACATAGTAGCAGTAGTTCCTTTCGGGTCTAACAGATGGCTCCAGTAGGCAGCGCCTGTAGATATGCTGTACCGCCGAACACAGATTATGATTGGGTATTATAGGTCATTGTTAGCTGTGATTTAGAATGATGTGTATGTATTAGTGTGCGCGTAGTACGAATTCTGAGATGGAATGATAGCGTAATTCGCGTAGTACGTATTGTGTTGTCGACTGTTAAATAGGTATACGTATTGACTAATAATAGCGCGCAGTACGCACTTAGGGGTCGATCTTAAAATTATTATTCGTCTAAATCTCAAGATATCTGTTAATCCTTTCACGATATTTATTGCATGCGCATGATTTGTGTCTGAGCTTGGCCTGCATCTCTGTGTTCTATTTGTTGAATTTACCTATATGTATCCGAAGAAGCCCCGTGGGTGAAACGTAATACAACTATTCTATCAATTTTGATCCTAAATAATGAGCATCTGGCTAATCATCTTCATCATCATAAGTGTCCCTTTAACTGAGGTCAGCTGAGATCAGGGGCCGAACGGCAGGGGAGCGTACCCCGCCCCTATATGCGTTAGCCGCTGTAAAAAAAGGCCAATACGGGCGAGGGTTTATAGCCACAGGAACGCGGTTCAAACGACGTTGGGCTCTCCTACCGCTAACTCTCTGTCAACGAGATAAAAAAAAACGGATGTCTTTTCCACTAGGCCACGCCGAGGACTACTCGAGGGCAGCGCTTTTCGAGGAGCGCTGTGGCCCGAAGGTTTGAACTTTGAATTGTGAAAAACGCCCGCCCGCCGCAAAACGCAAACACCGCAAAACGCGCAAAACGCACGCCCGAAACGCCAACGCAAAGGTCGCAAAAAATAAACGCCCGCCCGCCGCAAACCGCAAATAAAAAAAAACGCAAAAACGCCGCAACACAATAAAACCGCCCGCATCGCACGCCCGCTAACCGCCAACCGAAAACGCCTAAGAATCGCCCGCCCGCCGCCAAAAAAAAAAACACCGCAAAGAAAAAACGAAAAAGCGGCCGCCAACCGCAAACAAATTTAACACCGCAAACGACGCGAAAAAAAAGAAAACCGCCCGCATCGCCCGCCCGCCCGCCCGCCACCAAAGACAAACACCGCAAAAAACAAAAAACGCCCGCCCGCCGCAAAACGTAAACACCGCAAAACGTGTAAAACGCACGCCCGAAAAGCCAACGCAAACGGCAAAAAAATCGCCCGACCGCCGCAAACCACACAGAAAAAAAACGCCGAAACGCCGAAAAAATAAAACCGCCCGCACCGCACCGACGCCAACTGCTAACCGAAAACGACTAAAAGTCGCCCGCTGCAGCCGCCAAACGCAAACACCGCAAATAAGCGCCCGGCAGCAGCAAGATAATAATTCATCAACGACTGGCATACCGCCAGGCTGGTCATTTTCACAAATCAAAAAGATATCTGCAAAAATCTCCTAGATGAAAGCGCCCGATTATAAAACGGATGGCACGTGCGTGTTCCTCACCCCCAACTTCCTTCAGGTCAATCGTCATTTGGGTCACCTAACGCATTGACGACCGGCTGGGTGGAATGAACATTGCGCCAAGAAACGCAAGTATATTTTTAAAAAGAATCCCCATAATGGTGGATCCCAAAAGTTTGAAGCTACCACTTTGGCCCACTGGACGACACCTTAAACAGTTGCCGACCGGATGACACCCATTGTTTGGTCACCCACGCCATAGCATGCATCATGGGTGCGCCGAAATGACCAAAAGTCCCAATTTCCGGTGTGCAGGGTCATTTTCAACGGCACGTGGCACGTGGTTCTGGACTTTTCCGGCCACTTTGCGACATGCCCATGGGTAGTGCACCGAATGGTGGTTGATCTGCATGGAAGAAAATGGGGGGGGGGGGGGTCGTTTGGATCGTTTTCGAGCAATCTGCCGTGGAACGCATTTTTTTATTTTGCCCATTGGCTTAACACGGGAATTTTCAAAGTCACGTGGCACGTGCACCAGATGGTCCGCGGAGGGGAGACCCATACCAGAACGTAGATCACCTGGCCCACTAGAAATCCTGAAAAAATCAGAATTTTTGGAGCAGCCGTTTTCAAGAGCATCAAGTTGTACTGATCTCAGGCAGCTTTTGCCAAATTGTCAGGGAACTCAGATTCGTGTCGGGTCGCGGCCGGCCGGCCGCGGACCATTTTCAGAAGTGGCGGGCAGACCGTGCGTCGAGTACTTGCTTTCTCGCGTGGCGGTACTGGAGTTCACTAGCATTGTTTAAAATATTTTCATTTGCCATGAACTTGAAATTATACACTGTAATTAACGATCATTTGTCAATTATTACAAGTTCTTCAAAGTTCTTCCTTGAAAGCAAATGCTTTCATTTCACTCAAGAATTGTCTTGTCCACCACTATAACCGCCACCCAGCCGCCATCCATTGGAAGAGATAGGCTCTGCGGCACAAAGTGTCGTTTTAAACTGGACTGGGAACCAATGTGTGATGACATTTCGAGCTAAATTTATGCTCATTGTGTACCTAGAAGCATTGGGAACAACGCTCTGACTGTACATTTTTAGATTTTTGCCTCTAAATGAAAATATTTACAATCAAGTACTTTGCGAGCGCAGTTTAGAAGCTCCCGTAATGCTAAAGTCCTATCTCCTACAAGTATGTAAATACTGCTCTAGGGAACCAACAGTTCGCATCGTACTAGCTTTAAATTATATCCATATTGTTCCCAGTACTTTGCTGAACACTGTGGTGAGTGTACATTTTTCGTTTTTTGCTTTACAAGCGTAAAATTCGTATGGTTTTACACCACTTCATTCGCCTCCATAGCCCGGTAACGGCGCCGCGCGGCCCGGCCGGCCAGCGCCCGCTGTAGTTCCAAACACTGCCCGATAGATGGCAGGCGCAGAAGTGGTCCCAGCCGTCCCGGTACGTTGTTTTTCAATAGAAAAACACAATTCTAAAGAATAGTGTTTTAACTATTGACAACAAACCTTCGGTTACCGGCATCTGCGATGCCGGGCTCCGCATCGCGGGACCGCAGGTTGTTTGAGCAAGCACCTTTGTAAGCGCAGCAAAAACGCCCGCCACCAAACGAGAGGATGAGCCTTGCACGTGCAGACCGGAGTCGGTGTGCTACGGACTGACGTGCACGGCACCCTATTCGTTGGTCTATAGCGGTGTGCCAAATTTGAGTGCAATCGACCCGGCCGTTTTCGAGATCTGGAAGCGACACCCTGCACGTGCGCACGTGCAAAATGGGTACCATCTGACTTTTCCACGGCAACCTACTCACCGATCTCTGGCGTTGTGCTAAGTTCGGCTACAATCGGTCCGGCCGTTCTCGAGATCTGGAGGCGTCACCCTGCACGTGTGCACGTGCAGCTGCACCCCAACCGCGGCACATGAAAATACATACTTACTGACTTGTGCACGGCACCCTACTAACCAGTCTCTAGTGGTATTCCAAATTTGAGCACAGTCGGCCCGGCCGTTCTCGAGATCTGGAAGCGTCACCCTGCACGTGCGCACGTGCAAGATGAGTGCCATCTGCTTTGTGCACGGCACCCTACTCGCCGATCCCTAACGGTGTGCCAACTTTGATCACAATCGGCCCAGCCGTTCTCGAGATCTGGAAGCGTCACCCTGCACGTGTGCACGTGCAGCGGCACCCCAACCGTGACACATGGAAATGCATTGCGCGGCAGGTGCCTACAACCATGCCAAGTATCAGCGCAATCGGCAAACTAACTACAGAGTTATTAGATTTGTTACCTAACTGACACCTCTTCGTTTTGCACGTGGCACGCGCATTAGGGGTCACCCATACGCATCAAGAACAGCACACTACGTGTAAGAAAGGAAGAAGCTATCCCACACAAAAGACCGCGAGTGAATCGGTCCAGTGGTTGCAGAGATATAAGGTTTGTAAAGGCATCCCACAGGCGGCCTACTGCTAATATTTAGCAAATAATCAGTGTCGCATCCGCTCACGGGAGGTATCGCCGTCACCTGTTCGTATACTCTAATGTGGTTGGGTTCAAGTCACAGTCGAGCCCTGCTTTTTTACAGCTTTTCTTAAAAACGGCACATCGTGCAGTGACGTTCTATACATTGTTGGAAAGAGCATCGAAAGTTGTATATTTTAATTAACTTTTCACTTTGGTATATCTGCAACGTAAAAAGTCATTAAGCAACAAAGAAGCTCCCATTGACTTTCCATGTTAAAAATTTTAAATTTCAAATTAACTTTATAAGAAAAAACGATTTCTGCCAGCTTAACGAAGCATAGGGGAAGCCGGGGGAAGCCCGGCATAGTAAGCTCTTTTTCATTTTTATTACATACCATACGTGCTGTATAAAATGTTGATATCCTGCTAGCTAGCTAAGTTCATTGGCCGTGTTTTCCCAAAAATTCGGTTTTGTGGAATAAGTATAAGGTTGAGAAAATCGAGTTTTAAAAAAGTGTTGAATTTTCTGGGGTAAGCCCGGCATAGGGGTAACGCCGGCCACCTCCCCAGCGCTTTACAACGAGTTGATGAAACCATTATGTGTTTTCCAAATATTAACGGAAAGTGAAATATTAAGGTACTGATTAGCTCTGGACATCTTAGAGGTTATGTCACTACTGGTATTTTAGCTAGCGTCTACTACATATACAGTACAGGTCGATGAAAATCGTGATGCAAAATTGACAAAAAATGTGTATTTCAAAAATCTTTCAAACTTATTTTTCTTTTTACCTTAATGCATCATATTGCATATCATTCGACTCGGCTGATGAAGAAGAACACAACGACTTCATTTTTGAAGCTCTAGCTTCATTGTCTGTCGCGTTATCTGCAAAAACGTAGTTTGACCCTAGTTGACCTTAAGTGACATGACTGGCTTTGTCTATGATAACATGTTTATTTTCGAAATTTATCTTTGATCTAGGTGTAAACCAAACCTGCTCAGTACCTATTATCTCATGGAAAACAGTGGTTTAGTGGCATTGCTCTCGTTTGGGGGTAAGCTTGGCCACTCGCCCGGGGTTACCCCAATGTGCTAATTTTTATTTTAGAACAGCGATATTCGAAAAAAATGTCATACTTAAGCCAGTCTGCCTCGTCACCCCTCACTACAAACACTTAAACGGTCCTTACATAACATTCGTATAAATATTAGTACTGTATGGTATAACATTAACAGTGCAACATATCTCACTTTTTAGCTAAAAACCCTTAAAATATCATTTTTGCGCTATAACTTTAACAATATGCAACTTTTGTCAGCCTTAACTTTTTTGCTGGCGTTACCTTAGCTGCCACGCTGAATGGACAAACAGTTGAGCATTTTATTATGAATAATTTAGCCGGAAACGGGGTGGCCGGGCTTCCCCCGCGCCCGGGCTTCCCCCGGCTTCCCCTACCAGCATGTACTACGCTCTTTCCTCTACAAGATATAAGAGTTTGGGCAAATTCTATCTCTAAAATTTTGTACAATGAACGAAAGAAAATGTCTCTGCATAGGCTCGCATCGCCGTCCATTGACTTAACATGGGACACAGCAAAATTCCAACTTTGACCTTGTGCATAGAGGTGTTGCGAGATTCTGGCGGGTATACAGCGCACACTAGCGTGTACCCAAACGTGTTTGCCATAAAATGCTGGGAAGAAAACCACCTCCTTCTTGGCTCGTTTTCCCGCTATTTGGCGATCGCGCAAAAAGTGTCCAAAACCCCGTTGACTTAACATGGGGAAAATGGAATCGCACGTGCCACGCGCAAAAGAATTCTGAGCGAGTAGCGACCGGTGCCATCAGGTAGATCGCCTCCGGGAGCCCATACCCTGAAATTTTTACGAAGATTGAGCGATTCGTTTAGGCCAGACTCAAGATGTCTCGATTCGCTGCCAGACTTGCAAAACATAGCCCGGAGAACGACCGCTCCGGTTGTTTTTCAATAGAAAAACACAATTCTAACGAATAGTGTTTGTCTTTTCAAACAACCTGCGGTTACAATTCTAACGAATAGTGTTTGTCTTTTCAAACAACCTGCGGTTACGCTCCGGTTGTTTTTCAATAGAAAAACACAATTCTAACGAATAGTGTTTGTCTTTTCAAACAACCTGCGGTTATCCGTAGGTTAGCGCAGAAAGTAACTCATGAGCGGATAAGGTTTTCCTGGACACCTTCGTCTGCGGAAAACCAGTGATAGTTACTTAACTCACAACACATCATCTATTGGAATTTATCATTCAGTTCCATGCTTCATGTCATGCCAGGCTGATACGGGTCGTCGTTAGTCCAGATTTCTCCACTGCTGGCCTCTGCCGCCAGGGTCACAGGTCCCGAGCGGCCGGTCAGCGGCCGGTCAGAGTCCGTCCCGAGCGGCCGGTCAGCGGAGGTCAGAGGCCCCGAGCGGCCGGTCAGCGAGGTCACAGGCCTCGAGCTCCGTGCCACAGCCCGTGAATACGGCACGGCACATCTCGGCGGCATCAGTAGTCGAGCCGCGCCTACTGGCGTGCCAGTGCACGGTCTGGACAGCGACAAAAAGTCCCCGTTATCAGCCGGGCGGCGGTCGTCCCGGGTCGGCACTCAGTACTCACCCCGCGCAGCACCACAAAGTCCTCCGGCTCGATGTGCGTCTCATAGAAGTCGATGAAAGGCGCCAGCGGGGTCGGCAGGCCGGGGAAGTAGCGACCCTGTGCGCCGCCCTCCGAGGGTGCAGCGGCGGCAGCGGCCACCAGCGCGGCCGTCAGCAGAGCGCGGAGAGGCGCCATCGCGGAGCGTCGGGTGGCGGCGACTGGCCGAGTGACCGGCCGACTGGGGCCGGGCCGGGCCGCGCGGCCGCTCCGCCGCCAGCACCGCTGCCGCCGCCGGCCCGGCTCTCTCATTACGGCTGCGGTAGTGGCTGTTTGCATACCGACCGTCCCGGGTCGCGGCATAATGCAGGGACAGCGAGCGTGCAATGGTGAACCCTGTTACCGACCGACCCGAGAATGGAGAGCGCGAAGACGGGGGCGGGGAGACGGAGCGGGGAAGACGGGGACGAGGTGGGACGGAGCCACGGAGCCAGATGGTCAGAACTGCACTTCCTTAGAACGATTTTGTTTGATTACTTTCGCTCTGCCATTGATGCAAAAAGTGATAATGAAAATAGCTAGCCCGTATCAGTACAGGGGTGTGGGCATTTTGGGAACTGCCTAAACATTTTACAAAATGCCTGATTTTCGATTTACTTAACCGTTTTTTTTTATCACCGGCGTTGACCACAAGCGTTCCACTGAGCCTGAGCCCGAAACACATCCCAAGGTCACGAATACAGGGTATCCAGAAATTGATGCGGGGTTGTTTTATCCTCAATAATTCATAAATAGCTTGAATTTATGTCATGGTTTATGTGCTTTTATAGTCCCACTTCAGTCGTATACCTACCCAATAAACTACCTCATGCGCTCTGACATGTCGCATATCAGGACGGTTGTCGAGAGACGATTGCCTACAACATTCCCCATGCCGCTCACGCGCTCTGGAACAGCGTCTTCTCTTAGCTGGCGGGCGGTAACTTGCTGAGCTCTTGTTTGACCATCATGCAGAGGTTTTCGATTGAAGACAGGTCCCGATTGTTGCCAGACCATGTCCTCTTCTTTCAAAAGTCTGAAAACTTACTCAGCACCAGTCCTGGATCTCTATGTATAGCGTGATGACTGATGAGCCAGAAATCCTTCCTGCCCGAACGAAAATGTCCCTGGACTGGCCAAAAGTTTGGCTTTGGATTGTGAACTACTTTCCTTTTACTGCTGCATCGTAGTTGCTTCAGTGTTTTCCAGCACCTCGCTGACAAGTTATCAGCGGTCACGTGGTCTGTCCCTGCGGCACCTGGTGAAGCTCAGAGAGGCCTCTGTAGCCCTTCCTGACCCAGACGAGAATCTCCAGTGGAGTTCTTTGGTCTCAGTGAAATGCAGCTGCCTCACTTCTGGACTACGGTAAGTCAGGGCTGCATCCTGAGGTTGAGTGGCTTCCGCTTCTGGCTAAAGTATAAGTATTTAGATACCGATGGATGGCTGATTTATGTAGATGCCGGGTGCCCTGGTCCAGGTGCCACTGTTGCCGGACCCGGTGAAACTACATACATTCATTCAGTACTCAGGAGGGACAATATGACAGGCCGTACCTACCTACCAACTGCGCATCAATTTCGGGACACCCTGTACACCTACGTCTTGCGCCACTTCCATCGAGATGGAGCCAGCACGGAATGGACCAGGTAGGTTGAAGCACCATCTCCGTACCTTTTATATAAACAGAGCTTTAGCCGTGTATATGAAAGCTGTGCTGTTCAGTGTTCTCTGGTGAGCTTTTGTTCCGGCAGAAGCGATTGATAATGTAAGTACATGTGGCAATCAAAATTCTATAGATCGAAAGAGTATTCTTTTCTGATCAATGTTCATTGTCCACCCAAAGTAATAAAAAAGCATAAATGGCTCTTAGAAACAGTACCTACCGACTACCGAACGCATGTTGACTATCGAAACGGCGTCCAACGCTCGGCATCCGACGGCCGCTGGGGCTCAGTGACCTGAACTCGGCGGCACCACTTGGAGAATGCGCTGTCCTCCCACTTGGTGCGCATTATCCCAGCGATTAACCCACGAGCCGCTGGGGGGGGCATAAAGTTGCCCCCCTTTACGTTTAGTGAAATATCTCCGAAATCTGATGAGCTACGAACGTGAAACTTGGCATAGCTTCAAATGAATACCTAGGCAATGTTTGAGGAAAGTTTGGTGGTTGTAGCACCTAAGATGACGTCACAGTGACGTCATAAAGTTTTGTCGTTTTCCGATATGGACCGTTTCTGATGACGCTGAGCATGAAACTCGACTGTAAATGAACTAGACAGCACCTGCTGTCATCCTAAAACATCTAACTACACTTCCATCTAGTTTCTGACCAATAATCGGCCCTTTATATTCGGTCCCATATATATCTGATGTATCGTGAGGAATTTGAGAGTCGCAATTCTATAATTTCGCTTATGACGTTACTGTGACGTCATCTCAAATGGGATCGACACCAAATTTGGACACAACCTCGGCTAGGTATTCAGGAAGATGTGTGCAAAGTTTCGCTTCTCTATCTCTTCGCGTTGCGACGATATCGTCGCAGAAGTAAAGGGGGCAACTATATGCCCCCCCCCCCCCCCCAGCGGCCGGCGGGTGGCGCGGAGGCCCAGCGGCCGCCGGGTTAACTACTGCAGGCGCCGTTTACAATGATTTCCTCCGCTCCGTCGTTTCCATCCTCAGGATGCTGAAATCCTTCTCCACGCCGCAATCCTTACTCCGGGCTGGACGTGGACAGGCACCTTTATCTCATGCGGGCGCTCCCTTGGAGCGGCAGTAGAGATGTCAATCAGATACCAACTTTTTGGTATACCGATAGCAAACCGATACCAACTTGGTATTTGGTATTCAAGGTTAATGCATTTGGTATTTTGTTGGCATTGTGAATCGTCCCTAATGTAAAAGAGGCCGTGAATTTGGTAAAAAGGTGGTATTTTCCTGAGTTTACCAAGTTGGTTCGGTTTCGGTATTCTTCCATGGTTATTGTTGGTATTTGATTTGGTATCGGCATCAAGATTTTCCGTAATTGACATCACTAAGCGGCACCGCTGCTCCCGAGGGAGCGCACCCCGTAGTCGGGTGCAGAGAGTGCCCCGGCGACTCTCTAGGGTCTGCCCAGACCAATACAATTAAGAAAATGTTGGACCCCTTCGCCCACATGGGCCCCTTTCGGTTTGATTGCCCCCCTCCCCCTGAAGAAAATCCTGGCTACTCCCCTGCCCTTAGACGGTTTACATGACCCTCAGACGGCTTACGACTTACGAGGCTCTCATGGGCTGCAGGGGCCTTTGGCGGTCTGAAGGACCCTCATCCGACCTACGGGGCCCTCAAGACCGCCTTCAGAACCGGCTGAGCGACTCTATGAAGCTATTTGTGGGCCTATCTAGCAGGGACCCATGGACTGCTTGCCCCTCAGTTCTAACATTTTTTTTTCATTTTTTAAATAATATTTTTTTTTAATTTATTTGGTCCCCCTCCAAAAATAGTTGATGAAATCCGATGACTTTTTTGGATTTTCAGGGGGTTTACCTTGGGCCCCTGTAAGTTTGACCCCTCCTGGAGGAAATCCTGGCTACGCCCCTGGGCGCGGGTTAATATAATAGGGAGGTCACAAAATTGATTTGACCTTAGGCCATCGATATCAAAATTCCAAGACATACATTTCATACATACGGTTGCTCTTATCAATCTCTGAAAGTTTCAAAGCGATCGGTCACTCGCTGTAGATAATTTGGCAGACATTGAAACTATTTATGTAGTGAGGTCACTTGATCTGACCTGGTGACCTGACCTTAACCCGCGCCCTGGTGGGGGGGGGGGCTATTTTTTGCCCCCCCTCAAGACTTTTTGATATATCTCCAGAACCGCTGCGCCGATCGTCACCAAACTTTCAGTACCCTCCCGGACATCAATTTTACACATTGTGACCAAAAATTTTTCCAAAGGCTATGATAGGTTGGCCGGAAATGACGTCAGAGTGACGTCATGTTCTGCCGTTTTCGACCCAAAAAAGGGTTTCGCGGGAAGAGCTGTCAGGCCTATAGCTTTGCAAATACAGAAAAATGATAAAGACATAAAAGCTGTAGAATTAACAGGGCTACAAAACTGCTATCTCGGATTTTTGAAATTTTTGGATTTTGACCCCCAAAAATCAAAAAATAGATTTTTTGCATATAATAATCGAAAAATCCAAAAAGTTTTTTGAATTTCGCAAAAACCGGAATGTATGTGATAGTCCTTACCGCCTTCCATCCACATACCAAATTTGAGATCGATACCTCTTTTTTTGGCGAAGTTATAGCGAAAAAACTGTTCAAAATTGATGACGTCAAATTTTCAAACTCAATTTTTAGCAATTCTAGACCCCGTAGCGCAAAACAAAAACCACCATTAGACTCCCCGTGACGAGCTGCATCGAATCAATACCCATTTTATGCAAAACTATCAACTTTAAAATTTGACCTTTTTTGGCCTGACCTTGACCTGACCTTGACCTGAACTTCACCAGAAAGTGACCTAAGCCGTACCTGATAGTCTTATAACCAATACCATTGAGTTGGAAATGAAAAATTGGCCATAAAACATGCATCACACAACCTTAGTAAAGTTGGGCTCATGTGACCTGACCTGTGACCCTTGGTGACCTGACCTGTGACCTGACCTGGTATTGTCAGTGACCTCTAATAGTAATATATCTACTAGGCAACTGACGCCCTATCGCTGATTCTCGACAAAATGCGTTTTCCTCGGTGTTATAGCGCATTCCCTAGAAGACCCGTGAACGGTGAAACATTTCATCTTTGACCTGACCTGTGACGTCATCGGTGACCCCGAGGTCAATGAAATTTGGTTTTCCTCGACAAATTTGACAGGCCTTTCGAACGCCGTTTGAATTTTGCAGATCCGTCCAGTAGTTTCGGAGATACGAGGGGGGGCAAAAAATAGCCCCCCCCCCCCACCAGGTCGCGTTATAAACAGACCCCACCAGGGCGCGGGTTAACCCGCGCGGGGCTGGGGTCTCCAGCCGAACGCGCGGGGCTGGGGGGAGCGGAAATTTTACCCCCCTGTTATCTCCCGAACTAATGGTCCAATTTGGAAAATTCAAACGCCAATCGAAAGCTCTCATCACGAACTACTAAAAACATGTACTTAATTTAAAGTTTGAGGTCAAGGTCAAGGTCAGGTCAAGGGTACAAATTGCAAGTTTCTACAGTATCGGCCTTGCACCGTAGTTGCCGAAGAATGGAGTCATGGACTGAGACTGATCGCCCAAAACGTGTTCTTAGGCTACCAAGACAATATTCGTTGCATACAATATCATTCAGAGGTCAAGGTCAAGGTCAGGTCAGGTCAGGTCAGGTCACCAAAAAACAAAATATAGAAAAGGGCATGTGCGACACATGTTTTATGGGTCATTTTACTCATAGAATTCAATAGGCACACTCAATAAGTGATATGGACCACCTCTGGATGAATTTCAGGTCGAGGTCAGGTCAAGGTCAGGTCAAGTGAGGTCAAATTTTGAAGTTGGTTGTTAAGGCCTAAAAAGGTGTCTATCTGATGCAGTTTTTCACGGCGAATCGAATGGTGCTATTTTTGTTTCCGTACGAGGTCTAGAACTTCCAAAAAAGTCATTTTTCAAAAATTTTGTGTGTCGTGACGTCATAAAATTTTGAATAACTCCCACATTTTTGAACCGATTCTTCTAAAATTTGGTATGTAGGTGCACATAGACCACTTCTCTGAAATATATTCCGGTTTTTTCGATAGACTCAAAATTTTGGATTTTATAATGATTTTCCCAAAAAAGTCAGTTTTTTGAAAAAATTTAGGCCAAAATCCAAAATTTTCAAAAAACCGAGATAGCCATTTGATAGACAAAGTAAAATTACGTATAACCTTTTTGTTACGTCTTGATTCCTTTAAAAATGAAGATGTTAGCGGCGTTTGAACTTGTGCCGTTTTTGAGGCGAAAATGGCGAACATGACGTCACTAAAACGTCAATTTCTCAAAAATTTTCAAACGGATTTCGCTCAAATTTTCAGGGAACGTGTCAAATTGATGTAAGAAAAGGTACTTAAAGTTTGGCGGCGCTGCGCGCCGCCGTTTTTGAGATATCGCAAAAATTCGCGAGGGGGGGTAAAATTTACCCCCTTCCGCCCCGCGCGGGTTAAATGACCCGGGTCTGGAATTTTCACAACATATGTAGAAAAGATGTGTGATGCCGCCGTTTTTTTTTTAGAAATTCGCGAAATAACACAGGGTGGAGTGGGGGTGGGGGTGGGGGTTCAAACACCCCCCCCCCCCAGCAGGGTGCGGGTTAATGACTCGCATTGAGTAACTAAAAACATGGCCTTCGAGTTGTCGTCAGTTTTGTCAAATTAACAAGTCTCACCAGGCAAAACGTCGAGGGCTATAAGGAAACTCAAATATTCAATGCAAAAGGACATTTTCTGCCCATGTGGGTGTGTGACGTGTGTATGTGTACCGTGTACGTAGCTAGTACCTACACACAAGTGTTATGTGCTCGCTACAGCCTGCAAGGACACTACTATGAAGTAAATGGTCCCTTTTTTACCGAGGTTCGTGCAGGGTATACGGACATACAACCACACATACTTTTTCAGCTGCACGGGACACCCGTGTCTCTGTGTATTCGTCAAAGACAACGGCAGACTGAATGTGCGTACAGCTGTTCAAAGCTCCATATGATTTATAACTGGAAACGACAACAGTTCGAGAAATAGACACCATTAGTAGCACATCTAATTTCAACAAATAATTAACACAAGTCGCTAATATATCAACACAAAAAAAGACATTTTTCAAAAAAGACAAGCTCACAACACAGTAAAAAGACTTCCACAGCAGCCACTTTACTACTTATCTAGGGTGTTGCAGCTAAATTGGGACAAAGTTCGTAACCTAATCACAATTTTGTTATTTGGAGGATATGGCTGAAAATTTGACATGATACTATTTCAACAATGCTCTTTCACGTGCTAATATTTTTGATGCACGAAAACCGATAACAGTCATGGAGGAACAGCGTAGATGTACAGTTGCTGAATTAGTTCGCGCTGGACAAAGCGCGAAAGAGATCGTTATTGCAACAGGATACCCGAAGTCTACGGTATATCGCACTGTCGCTACTATGGACGGTGGAGGAGATGTCAGTAGACGTCCCCATGCGCCGCGAAGTGACCGCAAACGGAATCCTCGGTTTCTCGCGGGCTTGAAAAGGTCTATTGAGGCCAAACCAGGTGTCTCAATGCGTAAGCTAGCGCGAGACCGAAGGGTGAGCAAAAGCACCATTAGCAGGGCTGTCAAGGAGAACCTCGGGATGAGGTCGTATAGTAGGAAACGGCAGAACCTTCTGACGGAGCGTCTAAAAGCGTTACGGAAGGAGAGGGTCCCGATGGTTCTGAACCAGCTCAAGAACCATGGAGGAGACGTGAGAGTCTTTGTGGACGAAAAGAAGTTTGTGGTAGACGAAGTTGCCAACCGCCGGAACTCAAGAGTCATCGCCTCGAACCCCGGTGATGTTCCACCAGTGATGATAAGCAAAAATCCAGCCTCTGTGATGGTGTTCGGAGCCGTCGCGAGCGACGGTCGCGTCATGCCCCCTCACTTCATACCTGCTGGAGAAAGAATCGGCGCAGAGGAGTATCTGGCCATCTTAGAAGAAGTGCTTTTGCCCTGGATGGCGAAGTACTACGACCTGAAGAAAGTCACACTTGTACAGGACTCGGCTCCAGCTCATGCTTCCCGGAGGGTGCAGGATTTCCTTAGTCGGAAGATCCCTCTGTATGTCCCAAAGGATACGTGGCCTCCAAACTCACCCGACCTAAATCCGTGCGACTTTTGGATGTGGAGCGCGATTGAGGAGAGGTCCAACGCACGTGCCCATGACAGCATCTCGAGCCTCAAGAAGTCCATCAAGAAGGCAGCCAGCAGCATCGATCCTATGGAGGCTCAGCGCGCGTGCGGCGCGTTCCGACGCCGCCTGGAGATGGTGAAGGAGGCTCATGGTGGCCACATTGAGTGAGAGGGTAGAGAACATGTGCGTCAATACACGTTCAAAGTTTGAAAGCTCTGTCTCTTCATTCTACTGAGTTATGCCACTTTAAGTGTAAGCGGGAAAAATTCCCAATTTAGCTGCAACACCCTGTACATGATATTGCCTGATATATACGAACACCAATAAATTGCCATGCACGTCGCACATGTTACCAGCCAGCACAATTTCAATTTCTGTATGATATCACTTAAACGGACACACGCACGTTTAGTCACGAGTAACAAACATGGCAATTATTCGTATGTTCTATGGAAAAATAGGTTAAAAGAACAAGATAGAAAAGGAGAGGATTGGAAACGAAACGTGCTATATTATGCTGTACTGCGTTATGTCCCTTCGAAAGTTCGTAGGCTGCTGGACGATGCAAATTTAAAAAGTAAATAAGAGCCATGCGGTGAAAATAAAAGGCACGAAATATTAAAAGGGCATTTTTGTTCTGTTCATTCCAAGCTGCAAATCATGCAAAGACAATGCTGAAAACAAACAAATCATTGATTTTTGTTCATAAACTGTACAACTGACAACCGGCTTTTACGTTCACGAGCATACAAGCGCAAACAATAATTCGTCATCGTTCAAATGCAACACATTCTTAGCGAGATGAGTGACAACTCTCTAAAAGGGTTTGTCACGGTGCCTTGTCGACAACGAAGCTCTCATTCATTTGGGCATCTGCACCAACTCGCAACATTTCCGAACAACACCAGCGATAAGCCCAACGCTTCGTGCGCTGGCCGTTTCTATCTAAACACAAGCTGCTGACAGTTTTTAGCTCCGATAGTCCTCCTCGCACAAACAATGTTTATCGTCACAGTTAGCAGCACTTGTTGCGATTCCTAATAGCACCACTGGCCATCGCGTCAAAAATGGCCGCGGGCTCGGGCTGGCGATCCACCCCGGGCTGGCCTCGACATTTGATAAGCAGTCCGCAACCCCCGATCTGACGGGACCGTTACGTATCCGGTGTCCGGACTCTGAGCGGGCCCAGCCCGACGGATCCAGCGTGTGATGTGTGTGCGGTACCCGGACTCGGGGAGTCTGACGGACCCGGGTGTGCTGCGTAAGGAGCCAGCGCTGCGGACCCCGGGTGTGCTGCGTAAGGAGCCAGCGCTGCGGACCCGGGTGTGCTGCGTAAGGAGCCAGCGCTGCGGACCCGGGTGTGCCGTGAAAGGAGCCAGCGCTGCGGACCCGGGTGTGCCGTGAAAGGAGCCAGCGCTGCGAACCCGGGTGTGCTGCGTAAGGAGCCAGCGCTGCGGACCCGGGCCGCCCGGTGTGTGACCACTGCGGTGGGACATGACGGTGTGCCACTGTTTGCTATTCGCCAGTGTTTTCCTGTGATTGGACCCCACATTCTCCATCTAGTCAATGCCACATTTTCTTTACGTACGTTTCCCTCATCTTGGAAACTTGATTCTGTCGTGCCGCTTCATAAGTCTGGTTCCCGTGACAGCGCTGTTAATTTTAGACCTATATCAATTTTACCAGTATTATCGAAAGTATGTGAAAAGGTGGTTTGCAATCAGCTCGCTTCTTATCTTGATACGTCCTCTATTTTATCACCATCTCAGTATGCGTACCGCCGATATCACTCAACGGAGGATGCTCTCACCGACGCTGTCGAGTGGGTGACGCGCCGCGTCGACAGGGGTCACATTGTTGCCATCACGTCGGTGGACCTCAGTCGCGCCTTTGATAGTGTTGACCATGGTATTTTATTGTCCAAGTTGAGCTGGTACGGTGTTGACCCCGGGTGGTTCGCGAGTTACCTCGGTGGCTGGCGGCAGGTGGTGAGAGGCGGCTCCCTATCCCTTCCTATGTCCCATGGCGTTCCGCAGGGCTCCCTGGTCGGCCCAATCCTCTTCAGTATCTTCACAAATGACCTACCTTCCTACCTTCCTCATGGACGGCTCATTTCTTATGCAGACGATACCCAACTCCTCGATTCCGCTCTTCCCACTGACTTACCTGTCCTTAAAAAAAAAAAAAAAACAGGAGGACACCTTGCTCGCTGTCCAGTCCTATTACACATCCAATTCCTTGAAAATGAATCCTAGTAAGACCACCCTGCTTCTTGTGGGTACTGGCCAGAACCTCAAGAAAACCTCATCCTTTTCCCTTACCATATCCGGTCACACACTACAACCATCCACTTTTGTGAAGATGCTGGGAGTGACGGTCGACTCAACCCTATCCTGGGAAAAGCACATTTCAAATGTTGTCATTTCAAATGTTGTCAAAAAGTGCAATTCCATCCTTCTATGTTTGTATAAAATTCGTCATCATCTTACCCCCGAGACCCGTAAGCTCCTTATCCAGTGCCATGTTTTCCCCCACATCCTTTACTGCCTCTCCGTCTGGGGCGGGGCCGCTCGTTGTCATTTACATAAGGTGCAGAAGATCCTGAATTTTGGTGCTAGGGTCGTCTCCGGGGCGCGGGTTTCTGAACATATTTCACCGGTGTTGAGAGCCCTCGGCTGGCATGACATTGCTGATCTTGTCGTCCACCATGACTGCTCCACTGTGTTCAGGGCGCTGAGTGACCCTTGCGCTCCGGAGGCGATCCGCTCCCTATTCACTCGGCGAGCCGCTGTGTCGCAGCGCTCAACGCGGGCAACGTGTGCCGGTGTACTGGAGCTGCCGGCTTACCGGCTATCTATGTCGCGCCGGGCCTTGTCGTACCGAGCGGCCTCGTCCTGGAATCGCCTGCCGCCTGCCGCCACCGGCTCTCGAACTATAAGAGCGGAGTTTCTACGACTTTTAAACTCGACATGTGACTAGCGTTTTGGTATTTTAGTACAATGTGTATGCGTGTGTGTGCTTGTGTTTTATATGTTTTTACTATTGTCATTGACTAGAAGCTGACACTAATCCATCATTGGAATGCTTCGCTAATACAATATACAATACAATACAATACAATATACACTCAGCAGCCGATGGAGCCGAGCGGCGAGTCGGGCGGCGAGTCGGTGGAGCGCGTCGACTCCGAGTCGATGTGCGACAGGCAGGGCGAGCCGTGCAGACTGGCCGGCGTCACCGGGCGCGACTCGATGCTGACCGAGCGCGCCGGGCCTCGGCGCTGCGCCGGCGCCGGCGCCGCGCCGCCCTCCGCGACCCGGCCCTCCTGAAACGGGGCGGGGGGGGGGGCACGGTCACGTGCCGCCGCGGCCAGCGCGGTCAGCGGAGCAGCCGGCTGTTCCGGTCCCCGGCATGCCATTGATGCCATCTTCACAGGTGTTCAATATGCAGGCGTGGTGCCAGATACATACAGAATAAGCGAGACTATTTTTGGTCGTGACAGTTCTACGTGACGCGTGAGACTCCTTTACACCTGCCGAATCCATTAGCATCTATAAAACCGAACTGACGGCGGAGCGCAGCCCGGTAACACATACAGTAACCAGCTGGTCAACGCAGTGTGTGGACTGCCGAACACTGCCTGCAGGTCACTCTTCTAAGAAACGTCATTTTCCCTGTTCATGCTGGGCCGTAGACGTAGAAGCATTTTCAAAGGTGGTGTGGGGTAAGATCGTATGCAGTCGAAAGTAAAAATAATTTTAGTTCTGTGTTGAACAAGAATAAGTGAGAATCTATTATCTCACTGAATCTAAAGCAAAACAATTTGACTCGGATTTATGGTCCTTACGGACCTCTCGATGAATTAAAGAGCTGGATATATGATCCCATCGGATCCGAGATCAGGATCCGTGGGATCAGATCCCACATCCATTTTCTCGGCTTCATGCACATGTCTGATCAAAACATGGTGCATACAGGAAGAGTGCACAATGTTGTAAGAAATGCATCATGTGCTCGGCTTTGGAGATCAGTAAAGTGACGCTTCCGAGCCACTTTCTCAGCTTGAATTTCAGCTTTCGCATCATGCATAGGAAGCTCCAGTGCGAATAAAGAGCATAGCAATGGACGGCAGAAGAACGCAGCTGTACCGTTCAAGCATATAATTGAAGCAAGCAACAAATAATTGAATTATGATTGGTTTTGGCATGAGCAAAATTGAAAATATAAACTCGATGCTAAACATTACACCGACTATTTGAGGCTGCCATTCTTCTCGTCCTGGAAATGACAAAACAACCCTGAATACACAGCACACAACAAAACACCACACATGTGACAATATTTCAGACTTTACCATTTTACCTTTTGTCATCACTAAGTGCAAGAGCAAAGTTTACTTCTGTATCGAGAACCAGCCTAACCTATCCATATGTATAGTACGTGATACATGAGAACCGGTGTCCCTGCTCAGTCTCCAACAGAATGTAGGCCAGATCGTCAGGTCAACATCGTGAAAAATAAGTACTGCAAGCGCTCTCTATTTACATTGATTGGGCTTTAAAATAGATCATACGTTTTAGCGAGTTATGGGGCCATTTGGCAGCATTAAGTAATACTTTGCAGTCACTGACTTGTGTGATGGTGGTAATGATGTTTCAAATGGTTCACAGATTTCAAGAATATCATGTGATGTCTAGGCACTTCGTGGATTGGTATTATGTTGTGTTCATCTGGTAAGTTTACGTTTGATTGACGTGGTAGACTCTGAGCCAGAACGATCGAATATTAAATATTTGCATTTTGGCACTTTTTGTAAGTACCAATGTAAGTACCAACCACTGGAAACTCCTTTAACCCGCGCCGTGCTGGTGGCCTGAACTTTCCGTCCAGTGCAGGGGGCTCTTTCACCGTCTAACTCGTCTAACTCGGCTCTTGGGCCACGTAGCAGCACGCGATAAGCGGCAATCGAAAGAGCGTCAAAAATAAGGAAGAAAACACTTCGGTCATTTTTAAGGTCAGGTCAAAGTTCAGGTCACCAGAGGTCATCAAAGGTCAAATTTAGTCCAATTCAATAATTTTGGAAACTGACAACGGCTAACTCGGGAATCAATAGAGCTACAGTGCCGCGGAAAAAAACGCATTCGATAGCCGTTTTACAGACCTTTATGAGTGATGTTCTCAGATTTGACCTCAGGTCAACGGTTTAGCCTCCAGAGGGAAAAACTAAAAATAACCGCTTTCACGAAAAAGTTTTTCGGCAATAAGTTTTGGCTCAAGAGAGCCACGACATTACTTTTGGCAGCATCGTGTTCCTCTCGTTGAGACGCGTCGAATGAACTTTTTGTACCTTGAAAGGTAATTTTGAAAATTTGACCTCAGGTCAAGGTCACGACCTGACCGGAAAGGGTCCTGTTGTATATCAAAAGATCCGTGTCGTCGAGTTTAACATATCTAACGTGTCAGTTGCATTTTTCCGATTCAGTGTGTCATGTTTACCTATTAACTGATGTTTGAGAGGGTTTTGAACATCATTCGTCCAAAAGAGGCGCATTTCAATTTTATCCCATTTACTTATAACGGAGAGGTCGCAAAATTGACCTGATCTTAGGCCACAGACATAAAAATCCGAGATATAGGTACATTTTATACATACTGTTACTAATATCAATCGCTGAAAGTTCCAGAGTGATCGTTCAGTCAGTGTAGCTACTAGCTATATTGACTCGAGCCGTTGAACTTTTTCTGAGGTAAGGTCACTTGACGTGACCTGGTGAACTGATCTTGATCGACACGGGTCTGAAATTTTCACATGTGCAGAAATGATGTATGAACAGGTGTACTAAAAACGGCGGCGCTTTTTGAGATATCCGTGAAAATCTTAGGGGAGGGGGCGTAAAAACGCTCCCCCCCCCCAGCACGGCGCGGGTTAATAGTGAAATTTTCGTGAACCATTGTAATAATCAATTATCCCTCGCCCATGTAGGGGGGTTGGTGCAACCCCCCACCGTTTCAGATAGCCTGCTCAAATTTTCAGTACCCTATGGGGCATCCTTTGCGCAACTTTTGGTATTTTTTTGTCAAGGTCATGTCAGGTCACGGAGTTATGACGTCATAAAGGGAACAGCCTCCGGCCAGATTTACGCTAAATTGGAGATTGCTTCACATTGGTATAAATGCCGACTGACCTCACACACTGATGGATTGTTTTAGAATCACAACTGGCTGATTTGACATTGGCACAATGTCCGATGACATTTTGAAGGTTACTAAAGGTCAAGGTAAGGTCAGTGACCTCGGTTGACCTGTAATTACTTCTTGCACTTGCATGCCTTTTCGGGGTATTTTGATGCCCTGAATTCGAATTTGCTATACATTTCAGGCATCGTCGGTTGTTTCTTGTAGTTCATTTGGGGTCAGAGTCAGGTCAGTGACGTCACGCGCCTGACGTGACCCAATGCACAAATGACCTTGCAGACTTCCGATGCTCACAACGCATCATTTTTAGTGGTATGACATCGAAATATGCACCAAACGATAGAGAATTGATCAAGGATCACGATAGTGAAGGTTTCAAGTCGATATCTCTTACCGTTTTGCCGCAATCGGCGCGGAAATCTGAAAAAAGTTAGATTTTTCCGAAAATTTGACCTTTGACCGGTCATAAGTAGGTTAAATGTTGACCTAGGACCAAAAAATATACCACCAATCGCGAGATCTCGTGGAGAGCAATCCGTTGGTCTTTTCCGCTAAGCTCTACCACGCCAAACGCCAGGGGGGTCGCACCAACGCATGGGCGAAGATGGCAAAACACCGTTTACGGGCGAGGGTTATATTTAAATATGTGGTTTTATGATGAAGATCCTTTTCAATTTTAATCATTTCTTCCAGTGAAATAAATCGGCTCACCGTTAGCCTCACCAACATCAAACAGCGTGTGATTTTCCCACTGTGACAGCGGCGGCGGTGTTGTACGGAGGGCCTGTGACAGCGGCGGAGTGTTGTACGGAGGGCCTGTGACAGCGGCGGGGTGTTGTAAGGAGGGCCTGTGACAGCGGCAGGGTGTTGTACGGAGGGCCTGTGACAGCGGCGGGGTGTTGTACGGAGGGTCTGTGGCAGCGGCGGGGTGTTGTACGGAGGGCCTGTGACAGCGTCGGGGAGTTGTACGGAGGGCCTGTGGCAGCGGTGGGGTGTAGTACGGAGGGCCTGTGACAGCGGCAGGGTGTTGTACGGAGGGCCTGTGACAGCGGCGGGGTGTTGAACGGAGGGTTTGTGACAGCGGCGGGGTGTCGCCTGTGACAGCGGCGGGGTGTTATACGGAGGGCCTGTGACAGCGGCGGGGTGTTGTACGGAGGGTCTGTGACAGCGGCGGGGTGTGTTGTACGGAGGGCTTGTGGCAGCGGTGGGGTGTTGTACGGAGGGCCTGTGGCAGCGGCGGGGTGTAGTACGAAGGGCCTGTGGCAGCGGCGGGGTGTTGTACGGAGGGTCTGTGACAGCGGCGGGGTGTTGTACGGAGGGCCTGTGACAGCGGCGGGGTGTTGTACGGAGGGCCTGTGACAGCGGCGGGGTATTGTACGGAGGGCCTGTGACAGCGGCGGGGTGTTGTACGGAGGGCCTGTGACAGCGGCGGGGTGTTGTACGGAGGGCCTGTGACAGCGGCGGGGGTCGGGGTGTTGTACGGAGGGCCTGTGACAGCGGCGGGGTGTGTTGTACGTAGGGCCTGTGGCAGCGGCGGGGTGTTGTACGGAGGGCCTATGACAGCGGCGGGGTGTTGTACGGAGGGCCTGTGACAGCGGCGGGGTGTTGTACGGAGGGTCTGTGGCAGCGGCGGGGTGTTGTACGGAGGGCCTGTGACAGCGGCGGGGTGTTGTACGGAGGGCCTGTGACAGCGGCGGGGTGTTGAACGGAGGGTTTGTGACAGCGGCGGGGTGTCGCCTGTGACAGCGGCGGGGTGTTGAACGGAGGGTCTGTGGCAGCGGCGGGGTGTTGTACGGAGGGCCGGCTGCCGGTGCGCGGCGGTGCCCTGACCTGGTGCGGCGGCTCCCCGGCCGCTCCGTCGCCGCGCCGCGCCGCCGGCTCGACCGTCTGCTCATCTACCAGCTCCACAGAGTCCTCCTTGCTGATGCGGATCACCGGCACAGACATGGACGAGGCCGTCGAGTCGCGCTTGGCCGCGCCCTGGTCCGCCTCCACGCTGCCCGACTTTCCCCGCGAGTCGCCCCTGCCCTTCTCCGCCCTGGACGGCTTGTCCTTGTCCTTCTGCTTGTCTCTGCCCTTGGCGCGCCGGGCTTTGGCCGGCGGCGGCGCGGCCGGCTGCGGCTGGCCCTGGGCGCTCTGCTCCGAGCGCTGTGAGGCGATCCGCTCCCGGCGCCGGTGGACAGCCTCCAGCAGCAGCTCTGGCGACCCGGGGACGACACAGGGTCACCTCGGAACACAGCGACATACGGGGACGACACAGGGTCACCTCGGGCGACCCGGGGACGACACAGGGTCACCCCGGAACACAGCGACATACCGGGACGACACAGGGTCACCTCGGAACACAGCGACATACCGGGACGACACAGGGTCACCTCGGGCGACCCGGGGACGACACAGGGTCACCTCGGAACACAGCGACATACCGGGACGACGCAGGGTCACCTCGGAACACAGCGACATACGGGGACGCACAGGGTCACCCCGGAACACAACTTCACACAGGAAGGACACGGGGTCATCTCGGAACACAACGTCGTACAAGGACGACACCACGTCATCTTGGAGTACATCTTCGCACAGAGGTAGCTGCAGCCGCCACCCGGTGATACAGCATAACACAGAGCCAGCCGCTGCACCGAACCCTTGTCACCCCACCACAGTCCAGCGTCGACATCACTTCTAGAAACAGCAATGCTGTTAAAACTTGCCTATGTTTACACTCATCTACGTAAGTAAAAGCTGATCTATGAAATACAGAGAACGCGCAACATACCATATTGTTTGAAAAAGGGCATAATTCCGTAATTGCCATCAAACATCTTTCCCATTATCCTAATAGGCAAACCAGCCACAGGTCATCTCACCCTTTGCCCTGGCCTCTTTCTCCTTCTGCGTCCTGGGTGGCTTGGTCGCATCATCTGCCTTGGGCTTGGCGAAGGTATTCTCCAGCAGTCTGCTCCACTTGTCGAACGGCTTCTCGGGCTCCTTGGTTTTTGCGTCGGCCATTTTGAACATTTTGCGGCGCTCCTCGGTGCGCTCTCGGCGGAGCTGGTTTCGTAGGTCGTTGTTGGACTCGCGCAGAGAGCCGGCCAGCGAGATCTGGTAGAAGATGACCAGCACGAGTAGCACCAGCAGCGGAATCACGATGGCCGGCGACGAGATGTAGTCCAGGATCTGCAGCAGCAATGGCACAGTCAGGCACGCAGCGTGGCCAACCGGCGGGACCCAGCATCGTGCTGACAGAACAGTTTTAGTCATACACAATGCATTTATGTTGGGCTCTACATAATACCTTGTTGAGCGAGTCGGGCAGCGCCCGCTGAAGCCCGTTGGTGAAGATCTTGTAGGCGCGGAGGTAGCCGCTGAAGGGGCCGCAGTGCCAGCTGGGCTCCAGCCACACGATGGCGTAGCCAACGGGCAGGGTGCACAGGAACAGCATGATCAGCAGCAGCGCAAAGTAGAAGTTGTTGGATCTGCAACCGCATAGATAACATCCAATGAGGTCTGTCTGCATCGTCAAATGCAATATCTAATGCTCAGAGCATATTTAAATTTCATACTATCTTGATCACCCATATGCCCCAATGATCTCTTAGGCCCAAGCAATGGCAAAAAGTTAGAAAAAATGAAACATGTAGGGGAGAGTGGGGCACATTCGTGCAAAAAATGGATAAACCCATATATCTGTTCTTTGGTTAGTGCAATGGCAAAATTGTTGATTGTAGTATAGAAAGGAACTATTGCAGATAGTTTTCCTCTTTAAAAGTTATCCTATAAAATTATTGCTTCCATTAGAAAAAATGACTTTTATTAACTCTGAACATTTGCACGAAACTGCCCCACCTATGGGGCACATTCGTTCAAGAGATGGGGCACTTCCGTTCACCCGGCAAAATTCGAGAAATTACCGGGCATTACCAGAAATTTACCAAAGGAAATTGGCAGGGGGTCATTTCACTTGATTCCTTTCGACAAGAATGCATTGCACAACAAATGTAGAAAGAATGGGCTGGCCAACAAGAATGTGCCAACTGCCGGCCTCCGTGACCTCGCCAAGTTCGCGTGAATTGCTCGTCAGTTCGTCACGACGTCGCAAGCAGTCGAGACTGAGTCAGGCGAGCGTTATTAGAGAAACCTACTACAGATAAAGTCATAAATCGCAAAAACTAAAAAAAAAAAATATGCACGAATGTGCCCCCAGGCAGTGCGTACACGAACCTGCCCCACAACGTTATTAGTAATATATTTCAAAATTTCTTTTTGAAAAATGACACTTTTTCAACAAACAAGTTTGCAGCAGTTCCGTGAATAGAGTGGGCTTCTTCACCCCCAATTTTGAAAAGCTGAACCACATTTCCGAGTCAGGATCACGAAAATGGATGATATGAGAAAAGTTTGGAAAGCTCACGAATATTACAAATTTGCGTTTTTATCAAGCATGACAGCAGGTACAGTGTTGTCTTCTACGGTGAACGAAGGGCGGCAATGATAGACATATTTCCATAATTTACCTTGAGCTCGTGCAGTCACTCGTGTTCCCATAAACTGCTGAAAACGAATGTGCCCCATGCACGAATGTGCCCCACTCTCCCCTATGCGCAGTTCACATACCTGGATGCCTTGAAAATAACTTCGTGAGGCACGTTGGACGTGAGAACGCCCCAGGCTCTCACGTACATGAGGATAACGAGTTTGACGGCGTTTATAGCTGGCAGTCCGGGAGCGAAGAACATCCCCATCCTGTTAACGCATTCAATAATCAATATCACATTTATTACGGACAGAATCATGAACTTATTAGTAAGCTTCGAATGATATAAAAACTGTCTAGCGACTGTTGATGCTTGATACAGTTTAGCTCTTTAGCCCGCATCCCACTAGGTCTCCTGGATTTCCACGCCCTGCTGGAGGGGGCGTGGAAAGAGGGCTGAACGCCCCTCCTTCTAACGTGGCTCCCGGGTCACGTAGCGACACGCGGTAGGCGGCGTTTCAAAGAGAAGAACGTCAAAAATGATGACAAAATGATAGGAACAACACTTTTAGAAACTTTTTACACTTTTATTAGGTCAGGTCAAAGGTCAGGTCACCAGAGGTCATCCAATGCCAAAATTCGTCAACTTTCAGGTGAAATGATACTTTTATGAATGATAAAGAATGATAATGATATGATACATGAATAATCGCAGCGATCCGTCACGCGCTGTAGCTATGGCAAGCAAACTTTTTCTGATGTGAAGTCACTTCACGTGACCTGGTGACTTGACCTTGAAAGAACTTTTTCTAAAATTCCGAAGAAATTCTCAGAGGGGTGAGTGGACCCCTCCCCCACCCACCCCCCACCCCCTTTCCAGCAGGTCGCGGGTTTACAAACATGATCGGTATTCGGCATTGTTTATGACAAAAATATATATCCGATTCAGTGAAAGATTCAGGCACGTGATGAGCCAAGCACGTCACCAGTCGGCAGTTGATGCGCTGGTTGTTGACGAGCTCCACGTACCAGACCATGCCCTGGTTGTTGACGAGCTCCACGTACCAGACCATGCGCTGGTTGTTGACGAGCTCCACGTACCAGACCATGCCCTGGTTGTTGACGAGCTCCACGTACCAGACCATGCGCTGGTTGTTGACGAGCTCCACGTACCAGACCATGCCCTGGTTGTTGACGAGCTCCACGTACCAGACCATGCGCTGGTTGTTGACGAGCTCCACGTACCAGACCATGCCCTGGTTGTTGACGAGGTGCAGGATGTTCTCGGCGATCGAGAAGTCGGCGTATTTGGGAGCGGTGCGTTCCAGGTCCCAGCACCAGCAGTTGTTCATCACTCTGACGAACAGGGCGCGCAGGAACTCCATGCCCACCACGGAGGCCACCGTCCACACCTGCAGCGAGGAGCCGCGCAGTTCCCGTCAGCGGGCACGAGCCGCAGGTCACCGCGCCACCGCGCAACCTGCGACCACCTGCGCGCAGAGCCGGCGCAACAAAACTGCCGACAGCACTCCCGTCTACCCCCCAACCGAGCCGGGGCCTTAGCAAACGCTGCCATACTTTTTGGGGCAGGGGGACACATTGTAACACCGTGCTGCTTCTAAAACCAAGAAAGAAAAGTTCGGCATCAGTTCCCTAACAGGTACACCTTCTTTTCAAACGTCAGCCTGGGTGTGCCGGATGCGACCGTTGTGTAATGAGCTGACGAGTTGGGGCTGTCTTACCAGGGCTGGCCTATTGCCGCGCACTTGGTCGTGGTCTGCAGCGATAGGAAGGCCTTTCTCCGCCCTTAAGTTCCTCAAAAATTATATCCGCGTTAATTCCAACAAAAGTCAGAGCATCAGCAATCAGCATTGCTTCTGCAGTAAGCAAACTTTACAGAAAGTTGAACCTCTCGGAGTAAAATACCGCAAGTGTGCGATTCAACCCGACCGGGTATTTTTTTGCATAGGCACTGACGTCTCTCGTCTACGTCAGTGCCATCTGACGTCATAGGCACTGACGTCACATAGGCGTCCCAGGGCCCAGTTTCACCAAGTGCGGTAAACTCAATTTGGGGTAAAATACCAAACCCCAGTATTTTACCCCAAATTGAGTTTACCGCACTTGGTGAAACTGGGCCCTGGGACGCTTATGTGGAAGAACGTACGCGCAGCCGTTTCGGGGACCTCCTCATCGCTCACGTCCGTAAGTACAGAACCTTCCGGGAGAGATTGACTGACCAACTTCGCCGCGCGCCTCGTATCAGGCAGAAGTCTCAACGTCAACGGTGTCGAGGCGCTGGCATGGCTCGACGCAGAGGATCTTTTCATAGAAACACGCTCTTATCTTATCATAGGTGCGGGAACCATGGAAAGGGGAGGAGTGGGCCGTGGGGCTGCCCCTACGACTTTGAGGCTTTGGGAGCACTGCACCACCACAGCTTTTCAACAAGACCCTCAAGGACCTGTGGGACTGGAGACACATGCTCTGATTGAACTGCACTCGGCGTTTGTTTGGGTGGAGACTGGAGTGACCCGTCCGCCTGGACAGCGAAGTGCTAGCAAGATTCAGCATGAGTTAGTTGGCCCAGCAAAAGTCCCGCGGATGGTTAAATTCGTTATCAATCATAATTAAACATTTGTTCTAGGGTACCAAGGAGGTGATTACTTGACTCAGGTGAAACGGGATAAGTTGCAACATGGAAAATGTTGAAAAATGAATGGCCTAAAGCCGGTGAGCAAACTAGTTTTTTAGGGGGGGGGGGTATAGGCTGCTCTGTTTGAAGCGACACCGGTGAATATCAGAAGTGCCGGGTGTGCCCATCAGAAAACAGTTCCCGCGGTATATAGGGCCTTGGTTCCCACTCCACTGCTGGTACTACTCTACAAATTTGGCGTAAATCACGAGCCCGTGTCGCTTTCATCCTCTATCGAAACAAATTTTGAGACACAAGTTCGGAGCACTGGCCAGGGTGCATGGGCGTCGAAAGGGGGGGACGGGGGGACGCGTCCCCCCTGTCGAGGGATCTGGGGAAGTCACCTCCAAAAAATTACTCATGAATGTTTTAAAAAGTTGCTAGTTGCAACGGTTATTCACAATGGAGCTAGGTTAACAGAAATAAAGCTTCTTTAACCTTGCAGGCGGTGGAGGGGGACATTTTTTGCCCCCCCCCCTCACCTTAGTTTTTTATATCTACAGAACCGCTGCGCCGATCGTCACCAAACTTTCCGTACCCTCCCGTGAATCGCTTTTGCACATTGTGACCAAAAATTTTTCCAAAGGCTATGTATGATAGGTCGGCCGCTAATAACGTCGGAGTGACGTCATTTCTGCCATTTCCGACCCAAAAAAGGTTTCGCGGGAAGAGCTGTCAGGCCTACAGCTTTAGAGATACAGAAAAATGTTTCAAACATAAAAGGTGTAGAATAAACAGGGCTACAAGCCTGCGATCTCGGATTTTTAAAAGTTTTGGATTTCGACCCCAAAAATAAAAAATTGATTTTTTGAATATAACAGCCAAAAAATTCATTTTTAACTTTGAAAAAAACGGAATATGTGTGATAGTTCCTACCACCTACCAATTTGAGATCGATACCTCCTTTTTGGCCATGTTTTTTTTTTTTTTTTGCATGATCGCCAACAGAGAAATCTCCACTTAGGTACAGGCGAAGTCATAGGCCTAAAATCAGTAAATCACAAACAGCATAACAAAATACAAAACTGAGTACAATGCACGTTAAAAAAATATACAGTTTAATTGCAGACAAATAAAATAAGTAAAATACAGCGCACCAAATACCTCAGTGGAGGATCTGGAGATGTTATAGTGTGACGTTAAAGTCACGCGACATCTTTATTTTACGAGTTCATGGTTTTTGAGAAAATACACGGAGTTGATATCGAGACATGTAGTCCTGTTGTTTTATACCTTACATGGCGCGGTCGGTAGGACCCGAACCTACGCTCCCAAAGGGAATCTGATTTCCTATCTGTAGACGCGTGCAAAGATCTGGAGCTGATCAACAAGAACTTCCCATACCACACACAGGATTCTGTGATGACAGCCGGCGCGGTGAGCAGCGATCCCGCTGTGAGCCTGTCTGGGCCGGGGAAGAGGACCATGCCGGCACGCCCTGACCAGATGCCGTTTACCCCCACAGAAGGGAACGTGCCGCAGCTGGAAAGATTCTTGAAGCAGCAGTTTGCTGACACCACCTTCAACAGAGAGGCTGTGCCTCTTCCAGCGATGAACTGTGTGCCGCACACGATTCACCTCATGCCGGAAGCGATACCGTTCGCGCGTCACACGCCCATTCCAGTGAGCAAACATTGGGAAGACGAAGTTAAAGCTCAGCTGGACGAGGATGAGCGAATGGGAATAATAGAGAAGGTCCCGGCAGGCCAGCCTACCGTGTGGTGTGCCCAGATGGTAGTGGTGCCTAAGGCAGATGGAAGACCACGTCGAACCATCGACTATCAAGAGCTGAACAAGTTCTGTGTAAGGGAGACGCACCACACCAGAGTCCCGTTCGACATGGTGTCGTCCGTCCCGAAGCAAACCTACAAGACAACACTGGATGCCTACTGGGGCTTCCACCAAGTACCGCTGGCTGAGGAAAGCCGACCACTCACGACGTTTATCACGCCGTGGGGCCGATATAGGTATCTGAGGACACCTATGGGCCACTGTTCAGCGTCTGATGCCTATACAAAGAGGTACGACGATGCGGTGGTTGACATCGACAGAAAGTTCAAGTGTGTGGATGACGTGCTGCTATTTGACCACGGCATAGAAGAGGCCTTCTGGCACTGCTGGACATACCTAGATGCGTGCGGCAGAGCAGGTGTGACGCTGTCACCTGAGAAGTTCAAATTCTGCAGGCGTGAAGTCGAGTTTGTCGGGTTCAAACTCGGCTGGGACGCATATGGACCGGCCCAAGGGAAGCTGGCGGCCATCTCTGAGTTCCCGATGCCAGCTACCCCAACCATCACAGATATCCGGTCATTCGTCGGTCTGGTGAATCAGGTGGCGCCATTCGTGGCAACGGCACCCGTCATGGAGCCTTTCAGAGAGCTGCTAAAAAATCCCCAATCGAAGCATGTGTACTGGGACGACCAGCTAAGGAGACGGTGCGAGGAGGTGAAGTCACAAATAGCCGAGCTGGCGGCACGCGGTTTGCAGTATTATGACAAGCACAAACCGACCGCTCTGCTGACCGACTGGAGCAAGACTGGAGTCGGCTTCGTGGTTCTACAACAGCATTGCAAATGTACAGGCGGGGACAAGCCGTTTTGTTGTCCGAACGGATGGAAACTGGCACTGTGCGGAAGCCGTTTCCTGACGCCAGCAGAGCAGCGATATGCCGCTGTGGAAGGAGAGGCCCTCGCAATCGTCTGGGCCCTGCGGAAGGCAAGACTGTTCCTGTCAGGCTGTCCAAATCTGGAGATTATCACTGATCACAGACCGCTAGTGAAGCTGTTCTGTGACAGGCAGCTCAAGGATATCTCCAACCCACGGCTGTTCCGGCTGAAGGAGAAGACTCTCCTGTTCAGGTTCTCTATTCGGTTCCGCCCGGGTAGATTGAACGCCATAGCAGACACGCTGTCTCGCTATCCTGTGGAAAGGATAGGGCCGTCCGAAGCAGACCTGGCATTGGAAGACGAGCTGACCGTGGCGGCCATGACAGCGCTGGAGGAGTGCAGTGACATGATCACTGTCGACCAGGAGATGGTGCGTCAGCATGCACAAAATGATGGAACCTACCAGCTGCTGAAGCAGCGCATTGAAGGAGACACGTGGCCAGGAAGCTGCTCAAACGAGGTGAGCGAATTGAAGGCATTCTTCAAGGTGCGGAGCAGTCTCAGCGTGGTGGATAACTTGATATGCTACTCACACGAAGGTGGCGCCCTGAGACTAGTCATCCCAGAAACCCTGAGAACGCTGGTCGCTCAAAATTTGCACGCAGCACATCAAGGCACAGGAAACATGCTGAGGCGGGCCAGACAGGCAGTGTACTGGCCAGGATTTGAAGCTGATGTGGACAGGGCGAGGCTTCGGTGCACAGAGTGTGATTACCATGCACCCTCGCAGCCAGCTGAGTCACTTATCATGACACCACCGCCCGAATACCCGTTCCAGCAGGTGGTTGCTGACCTATTCGAGGTGCGCGGTCATCGCTACATGGTGTACGCCGACCGACTAACGGGGTGGATCAAGCTGGATCATCTCCGCTCGTTCGCATCCAACATCATCATACCGATACTGCAGCGGCATTTCTCCCAGTACGGAGTGCCAGAGCAAATATCGATCGACGGAGGGACCAGTCTCGTCAGTGCGGAGATGACTGGGTTCTTCCGACGGTGGCAGGTGGATGTTCGCCAGTCATCCGCCCAGTACCCGCAGTCGAACGGAAGAGCAGAGGCAGCGGTAAAGTCTGCTAAGTCAATCATGCGAAACAACACAGGCGATGATGGCAGTCTAGAAATGGAGAAGATCGCATCCGCCCTACTACAGTACCACAACACGCCGCTCCGAGAGGGCGATAAGTCGCCCGCGCAGCTGCTGATGGGGCGGCAACTGAGAGGTGGTGTGCCGGTCCCGGCGACCCTGCTGCGCGTGCAGGATCATTGGCGGGAGGACTTGGACCGCAGAGAGAGGATGATGGCTCAGAAGGCTGACCGGCTAGAGAATCTCTCCAGCAGGACTTGCCGTGACCTCACCAAGCTGGCAGTGGGTCAGCGTGTACGAATCCAAAATGCTGCGACTAAGCGATGGGATCGGACCGGAGTGGTAACGCGGATTCTTCGTGCGGTCAGACAGTACACTATTCGTCTGGATGGGTCTGGTCGACTGGTTCTCCGCAACAGGAAGTTCCTAAGACCACTACGCACAACAGGAGAGGAACGCGATGTCCCATCCCCAAGCAGCACCAACCCGGAGCCACCGGTGCCACCGCGCCGGCGTTCCGAGCGCCTCGCGCTGCAGTGAGCCAGCTCAAGGAGTATAGACGGTACTGGGGCCAGAGCTGGTACCCACGTGCGGTCCACGTGACAAAACGACACGTGTACGAGTGGGAGAGGGGAAGATGGAAACATAAGGGGGGTTGGAGGATCTGGAGATGTTATAGTGTGACGTTAAAGTCACGCGACATCTTTATTTTACGAGTTCATGGTTTTTGAGAAAATACACGGAGTTGATATCGAGACATGTAGTCCTGTTGTTTTATACCTTACACTCAGTAAGAAGCATAATGAAAGCAAGTGACTCTATATACTCACAATGTGTAAAAGGGATGCCCGGAGGGACCTTCAAAGCTAAGTGACGATATCTGCAGTCGTTTAGGAGATATCTACGGAAAAGGACAGCGGGACTTTCCGGCCCCAAACGGGGCGAGAACAACAGTAAGAAATGCATGCATGCTAATAAAAGGAAGGAAGACTGCGACGCCCAGCGATGGGCATTGGTGGGCGCGAATAGGGAAGCAGGTTGGGTGTAAAGCCTTCCGGCTGATGAGGCTCGTCACGCCGGCCGGTTACAGTGCTGCCCAATTGTTTTAGACTCGATCCCTCTCCAATGTGGTGCCCACTGTATTGTCCCCCCCCCCCCCCGATGTCCTCCACCCTGCTCTCCTTTCCTCCCTGACTCTCTCCATTCTCTTACCGTGTCCATGATGATGAGCTTCACCAGCTCCTGGCCGTACATGGTCTCCCAACAGAGCTTTCTCAGCTGCAGCCGCACCGTGCTGTTGAAGATCCGCGCCGTCTCCCGGATCACCGCTACATCTGCACAAAACACACAGTGTGATAACACGGAACACCGCCACATCTGCACATAACACAGTGCGGTGTTTTAACCCGCGCATGACTGGGGGGGGGGCTCTACAGAGCCCCCCCCCTCCCGTTTTTCAGCAATATCTTCTAAGCCGTTTGACGGATCAACACGAAGCTTGCAGTACCTTTAGCGGCATCAATTTGACACCTTGTCTTAAAATGCCAATTTTCCAGCTACTATAGTTTGGCCGAAAATGATGTCAGAGTGACGTCATGTCGGCCGATTTTGATGCAAAATATTGATTTACGGCAAACGCTCTCAAGAGCTGTTTTAACCCTATTCCTGGCGGGGGGGGCCTCAGGAGCCCCCCCCCCCTGAGGTTTTTTGGTTATTTCTCCCAAACGCGTTGAGCTAGGAAGCTCAAATTTTCTGACTTTTCCTAAAAGGCTTCTACGCAACATGTCTGAAAATTTTGAGTTGATCTGACCTCAGGTCAGGTCACCAGAGGCGGTTTGGTGACCCTACCTCAGAAAAGTTTGCAATCACGCCAGAGCTAGAGTTTTTGACCGATCAATTTCTTCTCTTCAGGCTTTAGTTAGGGTACCAGTATGTGCAATTTGCATATCTCGGAATTTTGATATCGGTGACCTAAGGTCAGGTCAGTTTCGCGACCTCCCCATTATAAGTCAATGGGGGAAAAATCAACTCCCTGTTTTTACCACTAAAACGGGTCGGAATGGCCCCATATACCATACATGACTTCATATACGGTCAAACTTCACTACCTTGAGGTCTGTTTTGCTGTTGGACAGCTGTGAGGTCATGTGACGTCATCAAAGGTCACCAAAGGTTTTTGGCCAATAACTCCGTACAGAAACAAGATACAGACGCGTGGATGGTCTCATTGTGTTCAGCTCGTCAAGACGCATCGAATGATATACATGATGACCTCGAGGTCACGTGACCTGAGGTCAACCTTTGACCTTGACCTTTCGAGGTCAACATATATATCATTCGATGCGGATTGACGAGAGGATCACGACGATGCCCTTAGTTTGTTCCTATCTTGACTAATTCGAAAGTTATTCGAGAAAAACTCTCTCCATGTCTAGCGCCGCCATTTTGACTTTTTCGACCCCTGTGACGTCATCTTTGACATGACCTGAAAATGACCTTAGTAAAAATTGTAGATCTTGACCGTGCGTATCCGATGCCGTTTACCGTTTGTCGCTGCGATGTGTAGTTTTTGAGATCTGAAGGGGGGCCGAATCGGCCCCCCGCCAGTTTCTTGTCCCGGCGGAGCCCGCCAGGAATAGGGTTAAGGCTAGATCCTATTTCTTTGCATGAGTGGACTGCAAATACACGTAGCTATCAGACTAATATCTCGAATTTTATATTTTTTAATTTTGAAACATACGTATTTACATTTACAAAAAAATATATTTCTTGATTTTTTTTTCAAACAATTTCGATGTTTCCAAAAACCGGAACACGTGTGATAGAACACACACTGATTTACTACTCTAGCAAGTTTTTTAGCCCAATAGCTTCAAAAATAGGCAAGTTATTTACATTATTGTCAAGATTTTACAATTATGTATTTTTCAAGACCATTTTCAGTACGTTTGCAACATCGTAGAGTAGTATAAATGGCACCATAATGTTTCTTAGCTCAAACTGCATCTGATAGGCACCTCTTTTGTTGAAAAATTACATTTTCAAAATTTCGCCTTTTCTGACCTTTTCAGGCCAGTTTCACCAACAAAAAAAATAGACGGCTGCGATTATTCTTTGACAAAACGATAGTCTATAAATCCTAATAACCGGTAAAAAAGTAATTGCTAACCAAATAATATAGCACTTGAAAGCTAAGTTGTTACATTTTTCAAGTCAGCGATTAGTATTTTCAGCAGTAAATGACACTTTGAGACTATCGTTTTGTCAAGAAAATAATCGCAGCCGTCTATTTTTTGTTGGTGAAACTGGCCTCTGATATTGACCTGACCTCCGGTAAATCCAGCTGAAAATGAACTCAAATGACACAGACGACATTTTTTTCGAAATATACGAGTAAAATGAACCATAAAACATGCGTCACGTGACTGATACATCTGCCACTCAGCCTGTGTGATGCAGGGTTCATAGTGCCACTCAGCCTGTGTGATGCAGGGTTCAACTTCACAGTGCCACTCAGACTGTGTGATGCGGTGCAGCCTACTACTTCAGGCAACTAAGGCAACTTGTTGCTTGTGAAAAGTGTAACGCCATTCTGTAGTAAAGTGTATGTACCTGCTGGAACTGTGTGGCATGAGATTTAGGTCGCTTATCCCTGCACCTTGTTTAACCCGCGCCCTGCTGGGGGTCCTGGATTTCCACGCCCTGCTGGGGGGGGTGTTTGAACACCCCCCTTGTAACTCGGCTCCTGGGCCACGTAGCGATACGCGGAAGGCGGCGTTCGAAAGAGCGTCAAAAATAATGACGACATCACTTCGGTCAATTTTTTGGTCAGGTCAAAGGTCAGGTCACCAGATGTCATTGAAGGCAAAATTTCGCAGATTTCCAGGTCGAATGTCGAAAATTTCCAAGAAGCCAACGCATAACTCGGGAACCAATAGAGCTACAGCGCCGCGGAAAAGCGCATTCGATAGCCCTTTTAACGCCCTTTCTGAATAATTCTCTCAGATTTGACCTGACGTCAACGCTTTTGCCTGTAGGGGGCAAAAACTGCAAAAATAGCCGATTTTTTCGAAAACAGTTTTTCTGCAATAACTTTTGACCCAAGCCTTGTACGAGCTTACTTTTACCGGCATCGTGTTCCTCTCGTCATGACGCATCGAATGAACTATAACTTGACCTTGAAAGGTCAACTTGAAAATTTGACCTTAGGTCAAGGTCATGACCTGACCGGCAAGGGTCATGTTGCATATCAGTCGATCTGTATCGTCGAGCTGAACACATCTAAGGCGTTTTCATCGCTCTAGCATGCCTCTATCAAAAGATATTTGCGAAAAACTGTTAGATACCATTCGTGACCTAAGATGACCTCAGGGCATAAGCAAGGGTCACGGACACCATTTTCAAGTTCAGTGTCTTTACCACTTGTAATTCGGTGTTTGGGAGTGTTTATAATGTCTTTCATCCAAAAGAGGCGCATTTCAATTTTCTCCCATTGACTTTGGGGAGGTCGCAAAATTGACCTGACCTTAGGTCATCGATATCAAAATTCTGAGATATACATTTTGTACATGCTATTGCTCTTAGCAATCGCTGAAAGTTTCAAAGCGATCGGTCACTCGGTGGAGCTATGACAGACATTGAAAGTTTTTATGAAGTGAGGTCACTTCAAGTGACCTGGTGACCTGACCTTGAATGACCTTGGTCTGAAATTTTCACAACATGTGTAGAATTGATGTATGATAAGGTGTACCAAAAACGGCGGCGCTTCGCGCCGCCGTTTTTGAGATATTCGCGAAAAACCACAAGGGGGGGGGGGTGTTCAAACACCCCCCCCCAGCAGGGCGCGGGTTAACACGAACAGAGAGTAATGCCCGCCTGTAATGAATCATTCATGTGGTCGTATTCGCATACACTGGTGTGCATATATGCAATATACATTGATTAGACATATAGAATACCGAACTGAGGTGAGGTCTGGCCCCAGCTGGCAGCAGGTATGGACTCGACCGTGTCACCCAGCGTGTCACCCAGCGTGTCACCCAGCGTGTCACCCAGCGTGTCTGTCACCGACCGTGTCACCCAGCGTGTCACCCAGCGTGTCACCCAGCGTGTCACCCAGCGTGTCACCCCAGCGTGTCACCCAGCGTGTCACTCAGCGTGTCAACCACCGTGTCACCCAGCGTGTCACCCGACGCCGCATCTGGCCGCGTTTCGCCGGCCGACGGCCCACTGCGCCCGAGCCGGACGCCTCGGCAGTGTCGTATGCACATAATCAGCACCCATCGGTGCCCGCGATCAGAGCCGCGAAATAGGCCGGCCGGCTGCACAGCGGCGGCAGCACACTCGGAAACACACAGGTCGACGGCCGGCTGACCTCTTTGGGGCGCTGCCGAGAGGGGCCACGGCAACTCCTCGAACCGACTACCGGCTGGAAACCGACTGAGAACAGTATCGTCTGGGAACTTTGAGGGGGACAGCGAGCGGGTACCGAGTACCGACTAGCGAATATTGCGAGGGACGTCGGTTTGAGTTAGTCCTGCCAGCCAAGAAACAGCGGTGCTAAACAGCGGTGTAAGTATTGCACTGCTAAACACGTGCTAGCAGTTAGGTCGAAACAGTTGGCGTTGTCTCATGGCGGGCGTTGTCTACATAGACCAGCGCGCTGGCCTGATAGAACTAAAGTGGCCCGTAATCCTGGGATTGACTGGGTCGATAAAGGAGCACCCGAGCCAGGGCAGACTCTGCGCCTCGGGTGGGTGTTTGGGTACATTGGACGATATGCCAGCGTCCTCAGAACTAGGGTCGGGTAGGGACGGGAGGGTGTCCGTGGTACCGCCGCACAGCGCCGGCAGTCTCCGCGGCCGGCCGCGCGCCGGCAGTTTCTGGTGCTGATTGCGCTCCTACAGTCTCTGCTGCCGATACGGCCGCTGATATCGGCGGTCAGCGATCAGCACCGGGTGGGGGTGTGGGGCCACGTGCGGCGCTGAGCGGGAGAAGCCGCAGCGCTGGCTGCGGGGCGCGCGGGCCGCGGCTGGCGCTGCCGCGCGGTGCCGCTCGGCCGAGGGTCCGACACCTCGATTGGCCGTGAACGGGTCACCGGAGAGGACGGAGGACGGAGGACGGCCAGGTCACCGGAGGACGATGCCCCGCGCAGGACCGCTGATGGACGCGCCGCTCCGGGAGGCCGCCGACCGGTCCGCCGCCGCCGACTCTCATTGACAGTCGGCCGGCGTCCCGGTTCGATTTATTGGTCGGGCCCGGGCGCCGACCTGGGCCGGACGATGCGCGCCCGCTGCTGACTTAGCATGAATGACATGGACGGGATGACGGATGGGAAGCGACTTCACAAATGGATAGAAGAAATAGCCTGGGACTTGCGGTACAGGTGCGTACAGTAAAGTTCTACAGGTTTGCAGGTACCTACAGCGTGCCGCTGTTTAGATGTGTCACCCCATCCGTGCTTCTATCCTCAGGATACTGAAATCCTTTGTCTCCACGCCACAACCCCCTTCCGGGCTGGGCAGGCAACTTTATCTCATGCGGGCTGCTCCCTTGGAGCGGCACCGCTGCTCCCGAGGGAGTGCACCCCGTAGCCGGGTGCAGTGAGTGCCTTGAGGCTGGGTGGCCTGTCCTCTGGACGGGCTCAGCCTCGGCGACTCACTAGGGTGCCTGCCCAGACCAATGTCTCCCCCTAATTCCTATCATCCTTCCGGCTCTGCAATGGTCTTGTCGACCGAAAGGGCCTAACCCAACAAAACAAACAAACAAACAAAGTTTAGATGTGTAGTTTCTGTTCGTAGGTCAGAAGGATGCAAACAGCAGGGAACATGTTTCTCTCGATAAGAAATACCAACAAACAGATGAAAACAGGTAACATCTAAATGGCTTTTCATTCCGTTGTTGTGATTCACATTTTTGTACAGCATAGAAACCGCCCTGTTACATAGGCGGCCTCTCCGAGGTGAGCAGCAGCAGGGCTGGGGTCGAGACACCGCCCTGTTACATAGGCGGCCTCTCCGAGGTGAGCAGCAGCAGGGCTGGGGTCGAGACACCGCCCTGTTACATAGGCGGCCTCTCCGAGGTGAGCAGCAGCAGGGCTGGGGACCGCCCTGTTACAAAGGCGGCCTCTCCGAGGTGAGCAGCAGGAGGGCTGGGATCGATGTCCCATCAGGACGTTTCCGTCCCAGCGGAGCGGCCACGGGGGTCTCTGCTGCTGCTGCTGCTGCGTACCGTAGTCCGTAGGTGATCCACAAAGTCCCATCACTAGTCGTTACTCTAGTTATCCTACAGCGCAATCCTGTTATCTTATAGCCCTGCACGGCCCGAAAGAACTTGCTCTCAGCAAAACAAAAACCAAATGGTCAGATCGCACCTACCTCATATAAATACCTATTCTATTTTATCGTTCTGTTTGTCCTCAGGACACACTAATCCTTCTCCTCCGCGCCTCAAATCACCTGTTCCGGAATGGACGATTGAGCCTTCACCATACGTGTGTAGCTCCTCGGGGCATGCTCACGTGCGCTGGGAGACCGTTAGCGGGGCTGGGTGGGCTGCCGATCGAGACGGCCTAACACCGACCGCTCGGCAGGGTGGCCAGGGGCCAACCATAGCAATTAAAAGTAATTCCTGTCATCAAAAGTAATTCCTCTCATCCTGCGGGCTCTGAAGACCGAAAAGGCCTAACCCTAAAAAAGCGGCTTGAGACTAAACCCATATATATCAAAGACAAATTTATTTCGTTGGAGGTGAGCAATGGCTAGTTTGAGCATAATTATGAATATTATGATGGTAGAAAATGACCTTATGCTCATGATACAATGAAATGATATTAAAATAAGTCCAAAAAGTATTATGATATATTTCGACTTGCGTCGTCTTCAGAATGTCGTCACATTCTGAAGACGACGCAAGTCGAAATATATCATAATACTTTTTGGACTTATTTTAATATCATTTCATTGTATCATGAGCATAAGGTCATTTTCTACCATCATAATACAAATTTATTTTCTGGACTGAAAAGTTTAGCCGACTTTAGAACGAGATCATCCCAAAATGTTGGCTCAAGTGCAAACTGGTGTAACATTTTCGACCGTGGTCACAATTTGGTCACAGTTGCTTACACCAGTTATTACCAGACCCTTCTGGCTAATGTATTTGAATAGGCCAGGTACCAATAGTGTAATGGGAACTACTTGCCATATGTTGGTGTACAGTGAACATATCTATCTCAACTGAATACTGAGTAGGACCTACCCCGGGCGGGCTCTGAAAGGTTCGGAATCGGGTGGGGGGGGGGGGCTTTTTGGCTCCTCTCAGATCTGGAAAACCACTAATCGGAGCAGCAAACGGTAAACGGCGTTTGCTAGCTCGTTGGAAGACCTACAACTTTTAATAATAACTTTTTTAGGTCAGGCCAACATTGAGGTCGCCAGAGGTCATCAAAAGTAATATGTTTGAAACAGATAGGTACTTGCATGACATTGATAGGTCAACTTCAAAATTTGACCTTATAGGAAGGTCACGCTGCAGTGGATTTTAGTCAACGCGCCATGACCAGACAAACAGTTTGGTACCATTTTCAAGTATTTAGCGCCATCATATCGTGATTTATTGGCTAAAAACTATTGATGACGTCACATGGCCTCAGATGACCCTTCCCGGTGCCCCTGTCAGTAAATGGCACCCGGCTCATTACAGATCAGATAATCTGTCACAATCCTAAAAGAATTGGGTGGTTTTGACTCGTTTAAGCAGGACGCATTTCAATATTATTCCGTAGGCTTGTAATGTAAAGATCACGACTCTGACCTCACCTACGGTCACAGATATAAAAATTATGAGATGTACAAAATGCACATACTGGTATTGTAATGAAGACCTGAAGAGAGGAAATCGCTGCATGAAAAAAAAAACTCTAGCTCTGAGATGATTGCAAACTTGTCTGAGGTGAAGGAGTCAACAAAGTACAAACCCGTTCTGGTGACCTGACCTGACCTGGGCCCAGCATTTTTGTATTTGCTGAAATGTGCCTAATGAATATTTAGGAAACGTCACCAAGTATGAGCTGAATATCTTGGTCGTCTTTCTATAACCACCTGTGGCCGTCTCTCTCTCCCTACCTATAGGTCGTCTCTCTGTACCTCTGGTCGTCTCTCTATTTCTACCTTTGGTCGTCTCTCTGTACGTGTGGTCGTCTCTCTGTCTCTATTCCTACCTGTGGCCGTCTCTCTGTACCTGTCGGCGTCTCTCTATTCCTACCTGTGCCCGTCTCTCTACTCCTACCTGTGGCCGTCTCGCCGCTGCCCGGGGTCGTCTCTCTACTCCTACCTGTGGCCGTCTCTCTGTTCCTACCTGTGGCCGTCTCTCTGTTTCTACCTGTGGCCGTCTCGCCGCCGCCCAGGGTCATCTCTCTGTACGTGTGGCCGTCTCTCTATACCTACCTGTGGCCGTCTCGCCGCCGCCCGGGGTCGTCTCTCTGTACCTGTGGTCGTCTCTCTATTCCTACCTGTGCCCGTCTCTCTATTTCTACCTGTGCCCGTCTCTCTACTCCTACCTGTGGCCGTCTCTCTATTTCTACCTGTGCCCGTCTCTCTACTCCTATCTGTGGCCGTCTCTCTACTCCTACCTGTGGCCGTCTCGCCGCCGCCCGGGGTCGTCGGACCGTCCTCGCTCGGCGGCTCCGAGTAGTCGGTGTCGTTGTCGGCGCAGAGGAACCGGTAGCACTCGGCAGCGGAAGGCGCCATCTCCGTCACCGGCACCGTGGCAGCCGCCCAGAGCTCGCTCTCCTGCCAACAGGGCAGCACACTCGGGAACCAGCAGAGCCACAGCGCCGTGGAAACAGGGCCTCCTCTAACATACCCACTGGGTGGGCAAATGCCTACCCAGTCACCACAATTGCCCACCCAGTGGCGTCGATTTGCCCACCCAGAAGCAAATGCAAAAATAAAGGTCCGGTCAGACGTCCGGTAGGAACTACCACTTCGGTTTCTCGGAAAAAAACTTGCTAGCAGCCAGTGCCCCAGCCCCCAATCACTGCAGTGCAAGTTATTTTTTACAATGGATGCATCTGAATGCAGGGGCGGTAGCAGACTTGGCGTTTGGGGGCGGGGGCAACTTGGCAACTTTGCTAACCCTCGGAGGGGGGGGGGCGGTGCTAGCTTACAGGGGCCCATGGCCATAGCGGCCTCAAAGGCCCGTATGGAACCCCAGAGGCCGATGTGGGCTCTCAGAGGCCAGTGCGTGACGCTTAAAGGTGTAAGCCATGGGTCCCCAGCCAGACAACAAAATAGGGCCATCAGAGACCTTATAGGCTGATTGGGGACTAAATAGGGCCTCAATTTGGAGCCATCAGAGGCAAATGTGGGCCTCAGATATCAGTGTGAGGCCCTTATAAGACTGACATTGGTCCTCAGAGACCGGCATCGATCCTTCAGAAGCCAGTACGGGGCCCTCAGAGGCACAAAAGGGTCAGTCTTGGATCTCAGAGGCAGAAAATGGGCCATCAGCAACCGGTGTGGGACCTTTAGAGGTCGGTTTGTGCCCTCAGAGGCCAGTTTAAGGCCCTCAGAGACCAGTACAGGGCCTGAAAATGGCAGTTTGAGGCCATCAGAGGCCGACTTAGGCTCTCAAAGGCTAATGCGGGTCCTTGAGGCAAGGATGGGACCCTCAGGGGTCAGTGTGGCACCCTAAAAGACAGGCTTGGGCTGGTGTTGGACCCCAGAGTCCAGATTAGGCCAAGTTGAGCCCTCAGAGCCGATGCAGGTCCTTAACCCGCGCCCCACTGGGGGGGGGGGCTATTTATAGCCCCCCTCCCGTTTTTCTGCAATAACTTCCAAACTGCTTGACGGATCGACGCCAAACTTTCAGTACCTTTGGCTGCATCAATTTGACACCTTGTGTCAAAATTTGAACTTCGTAGCTACCATAGGTCGGCCGGAAATGACGTCAGAGTGACGTCATGTTCGTCCAATTTCGACGCAAAACATTGAACCACGGCAATCGCTCCCAAGAGCTCAGTTTTTAAGCTAGATCCAATTTCTTTTTGCATGAAAGAACTCAAAATTGACCGCGCTATCAAACTGCTATCTCGGATTTTCAAAATTTTGAAAATTTCGAAAATTTTATATAATAATATTCAAAATTTATATTTTTATATTTTTTTTTTCAAAAACTTTTTGACTTTTCGAAAAAACCGGAATATATGTGACAGAACGCATGATTATGACTAACTCTAGCAAGTTTTAGCTAAATATCTTCAAAAATGGCCAAGATATACGCATTATTGCAAAAAATTCACAATTATTAATTTTTCAAATCAATTTTTCAGTACGTATTTGGCATCGTACACCAATATAAATGGCACCATCGTGTTCCTGAGCTCAAACTGCATCCAATAGACACCTTTTTTGTTGAAAAATTTCAACTTCAAAATTTGACCTTTTTTGATCTGAAAGTGACCTGACCTAAGCTAAATTCGACTCAAAATGACCTCGAATGACATAGACGACATCAACTTCGAAATCTATGGCCTAAATGGACCATAAAACATGTGTCACGTGACCGACGCATGATATAATATTTTCGTGACCTGTGATGACCTGACCCTGACCTGAAAATCAAAGTACAAGTTTGGTACCCTCAAGGTATCTAGAGCATCTGTTCACGAGTGTGGAAACCAAAAATGAGCCTGATCTGACTTGTAAGACGGCGGCCAGAGCCCAAAATGTGAACAAGCCAAAGTGCTAATAATTTTTCCTTTGACCTGACCTGTGACGTCATCAGTGACCTCGAGGTCAATGAAATTAGGTTTCGCTCGACAGTTTTTCCGGGGCTATCAGACGCCGTTTGAATTTTGACGATCGGCCCAGTAGTTTCGGAGTTAGGAGGGGGGGGGGCTATGAATAGCCCCCCCCCCCCCCCAGTAGGGCGTGTTATACACAGACTCCAGTGGGGCGCGGGTTAACCCGGCAGTTGCTGGGGTATTTCGCCACCCACCGTTTGCTGGGGGGGGGGGGCGTTAAACGCCCCCAGCCGATAACTCAAGAACCAATAGGCGCAGCGAAACGAACGAGGCGGCAAACGAAAGAACGCGACGAGACGCTTCAGATGAGTACTTTAAAGTTGAATTTTGAGGTCACAGGTCGGGTCAAGGTCACGTCAAACACCTGAAATCGGACTTTCAGTAGCATGGACTTCAGGACTTCACAATGGGCGCCTCCCGTCATAAACTCTGTCAAAACGGTGCACAATCCATCATATAAGGCCTACAAGAGTGTCAGCTCCATGTAGGGGTCAGTCAAGCATAGGTCAGGGTCAAGGTCAGGTAAACCGGGTAGACACATATCCCCGAAAATCAAAACTGATATTCGCAGCCTGTGACACATGTTTTATGGGTAATTTGGGGCGTAGAACACGATGGTGACATTCATTTTATCATATGTGTACGTGTTTGGGTCAAAAAGTTCAAATTAAGAAATGTATGTATCATGGTCGTGAAGTAGTCATGAGAAATTGCCAAGATTCAGTTCAAGATTTTGGAAAAAGCGGAACGATAATCAATAATCGAAGATAGCCATTTGATTGTTCATGGTATTGGCAGTCTAATGGCGTTTACGGCATGTCTGTATGTCTATTCTGTGATTTTATATGATTTTTTGAACATATTACGTGTTTGGTCGAAAACCAAGAAATCATGACGTCACTGAAACCTCGATATCTCAAAAATTTTCCGGCCGATTTTTTTTTGAAATTTTGTCACAATAAACGTCAAACAATTCCCTAGAGGCACCCAAAATTTGGCGTGCCTGCGGCGCGACGTTTTTTTTTTTTTTGCTATGGCCCAGCGAAAAAAGTGGGGGCGTTTAACGCCCCCCCCCCCAGCAACTCGGGGGGTAACCCTCGCCCGTATAGGGGGGAGTCGAACGGACCCCCCTCGATTTTTTGCGAATAACTCGCGACCTGTGACCTCTTTTCCGTGACCATGTTTGGCCGAAATCGCGATTCGGCGTATGTCGGTTCGCATTAGCCGCGCGTTTGCAAGCTTTTCGTGATTTCAAACGTTCAAACATGTGATTTGATGTTGCTCCCATACATAAGGGTGGGTGTCAAGGTCACCTTGACACCCACCCTTAAAATTGGGTCAGGTCACGTCATTGACCTTTGGTGACCTCGGGTGACCTCGGTTCACTTTTTCGAGATGTTCTAGGCTAGTTTTTTATCTGAATTCGAATTTAGCAACCATTTGAACATTTACGAAGTAGTTTTGGTGCCTTCGTAACATGTTACGAAGCTGTCAGAGGCGGTTGACACGTAATACGAATACCCGTCACAACCCCTACCGGTTGACCTGACCTGACCTGACCCGACCTGGTCTAAATGGCATGCTTAAAACATCATCTCTGATCAAAACTAACACGATATTCGTGATCAGCACCCCGGAAAACCACATAGCAGCCACACTTTACGACTTTCTAACAGGTCCCGATTTTCCCGGTTTTCGGGTCATTGACCTGACCTGGAAGGTCACTCGATGACCTAGGACCTTAAAATTGGGTATCATCGGCTTCCTCTGGTAACGGGCAACACGCTCGTTTTTTCCGTGAAGCTCTAGCTTGATCAGGGGCCAAACGCGAGGGGGGGGGTCGTGCCGCCGAAGGACGCAATGGCCTGTGCCGGCGAGGGTTAAAATTGGGTATCATCGGCTTCCTCTCGTCACGGGCAACACGCTTGTTTTTTTCCGCGAAGCTCTAGCTCGATCAGGGGCGAAACGGCAAGGGAGGTCCAACGCCCCCCCCCCCCCCTAAACGAGTACCTACGTTCGCGGCTGGAAAAACACCAATACTCAGGGGATGGTTAAAGGCCGGCATCGGGTCTTCAGAATCCAGTGCGGGGCCCTCAGAGGCTAATATGGGCCTTTACAGGCCAGCATGGGGCCTCAGAGGTCAGTGTGGGACCCTCAAAGACCGGCATGGGCCAGCAGTCTAGCGCGCTACAAGGCCAAGGATGTATTACAAGTAGATTAAGGTCAATAAAAGCCGCATTTAGATCAAGAGGACTCGCCAAGAGTAAGCTGACCATGCCTCCTAAAAAGAGGCAGCGAGCATCACCTACCTATTCGATTTCTGGTTCAAGGAGCAATCATAGTAAGTTTAACTCTGCACTTTTGCAGTCTTCTTAAAATTTTAAATGTATGTAGACTAGAGATGTCAATCGGATACCAACTTTTTGGTATACCGATACCAAACTGATACCAACTTGGTATTTGGTATTTTGATCCTAATGTTGTTGGTATTTTGTTGGTATTACGAATCCGGCTAATGTATAAGAGGATACGAATTCGGTAAAAAGTTGGTATTTCCCTCATGTTCCCAAGTTGGTTTGGTTTCGGTATTTTTCATGGTTTTGGTTGGCATTTGGTTTGGTATCGGTATCCTGATTTTCCGTTATTGATATCACTAATGTAAACAATAGGCATACCTATAAGGTGAAATACACACGAAATACCATATCACACACGACAAACGTTAAACTATAAATGGCACAGTTGGTTAACTGTGAAAGTGACATAGGCCTTAACCCCCCCCCCCAGTCGCAGGTGAAAATGGTTGCACCCCAAAACAAGTGACTGGATCTGCCCTTGGGCAGGGGAGCGACGAAAAATTTTGCCCACCCAGTGAAAAATCCTTAGAGGAGGCCCTGCGTGGAAAAGCGCATTCAATAGCCTTATAACGCTATTTCTGGATTTAGCTCTCACATTTGACCTCAGGCCAACAGTTTAGCATCCAGAAGGCATAAACTAAAAAATAGCCGTTTTTTGGTACTAACTTTTGACTGAAGAGCCACGACACTAATCTTGCCAGAATCCTATTTCTTTCTTCGGGACGCGTCGAGTGAACTACAGGGTGGAAAGTAATTACGCGAACATGTATTTTCTTACAATTTCGCCCGTCAGTGGAGATTTTGTATGAGCGCGGGCTGTCATGGAACATGATTGGTCGTGTTTGTTGTCGTCTCATCTACCAAAAGTGACCTTACTTTGAAAAATGACTTGGAAGGTCTACAACACGTCTCAACTTCGAATGGTGCAGACGCCATACGCTGCACAAGACAACAATGTGCAAAGATCGCAATTTGGTGTTGCCAGGGAAAGCGTTTGTGATTATTTTGGCTGGATTGGTGCGGAAGGGACTCGGAACGGTCTCGGCACCAGCATTACTCAATTACACGTTTGGTTGAAGCATAATAAAACTTAAGAGGGCTTAAAAAGCAAAGCCGTTGGCGGCAGTAAAACCTCAGCGAATTCAGGCGCCGAATGGGTGGTCACCATTTCCGCGACCAAACGACAACAGTCGATCCGAAAACAGGCGAAATGGTTTACTAAGGCCGGGTACCCGATCTAAGATATCACGATTCATACATAAATCCGTGAAAATTCGAAAATCAAGCCGTACAAACAATCGAGATGGCCAAAATTCATGAATTAACAGCAGGATTGTCAATTGAAGTTTTCTAAAGACCGGCAAACCTGAACAGAGGAGGACATGCAGCTGGCTTTGCGGTTGGGTGAGACATCTTCGAAGCTATTTCATCCGTCAAACCTGCAGAACAACGCGTTGGGGGCTGCTGATGCGTCCGATGTCCCGCCCGTCCCAACCTTCAAACATCCGGCAAAGGAACACACATCAGCGTGTTATGAGCGCCCGGATGGTGTCAGAATTGCATGTAGTGACCAAAAAGGCAACCAAAAATAAAGTATAACAACTAGTGGAACATCCTTCCAGACGAGTCTCTTTATCTAATCCACCAATGCACCAAAAGGGGCAAAATGATTTAGCGCACTTTTGTGCCCGACGCAAAGAAACTCTTCTTCATGATTGATAAAGTCCTTCCTCTCACGGCCAAAAAGACTCAAGACTGGTGCTTTGAGAACCTGTTCTTCTTCTGGGCATATAATGGTCAATCTGGGAATAGCCCAGACCTCAATTTGATCAAAAATATCCAGGCGACTCTTCAGGAGAGCGTCTAAGAGCTGCTAGTAGCCACCAACATCGATTGCCTAACCAGACAGCTCCAGGAGGCGTGGACTAAGCTTTGGCCAACAGTGCTTGACATGCTCATGTCAATTATGCCTGAACGCCTTTGTCAGTGTATCGCACATAAATAGGAATATATGAAAGGATGAAATTTTCATGTCACCCGCCGCTTTTTCCATTGCTATAAGACGAAAAAGTATGTTCGCGTAATTACTTTCCACCCTGTATAATTTGACCTTAGACTAAGGTCATTTCGAAGATTTTACCTAAGATCAAGGCCAAGACCTGACCGGAAGAGGTCATGTTGCATATCATTCGATCTGTATCGTCGAGCATTTGAGGTGTTTTCACCGCCTTAGCATGCCTCTATCAAAAGCTATCGGGAACCTCTCATGACCTGAGATGACCTCTGGGGACAAAAAAGAATCACGGGTGCAATTCTCCTATTTTATGTGTCATGTTTACCCATAAACCGATGCTGGAGAGTGTTTAGAACAACGTTTATAAAAAGGCGTATTTCAATTTTCTCCCGTTGACGTATAATGCAGAAGTCGCAAAGTTGACCTGACCTTAGGTCACAGATATCCAAATTCCGAGACAAACATGTAATACATACTGTTACTGTTATCAATCGCTAAAAGTTTCCACCCGATCGGTCACTCGATGTAGCTATGGCAGGCATTGAAACTACTTTTATGAGATGAGGTTGTGACCAGTTGACCTGACCTTGTACGATCCAGGTCCAAAATTTTAAAAACATGTGCAGAAAAGATGTATAAACAAGTGTGTAAAAAATTGCGACGCAGTGCACGGCCGTTTTTTTTTTTTTTTAGATATTCGCGAAAAAGCTGGAGGGGGGGGGGCGTAACCTCCTCGCGGGCTATTTAAGGTTATTTATGCTTGTGGTAATTTACATGGAATGGCTAGCAGTGACTGCTGGTTATCTCGCGTGTCTGTCGTCGGGGGCGTGCCGCGACGCTCACCGTGTCCCCCGGCGCGCCGGTCGGCTCCGGAGCCGCGCCGCTGGTCGTCGGTGCGGCTCTCGTTCCGACATCGGGTGGTGCGCTGCTGCTGCCGCCGCTCCCAATATCCAGAGGGACAGTCGGCCTAGTGTGCTGCCCTCCTGATGGGATGGCCTTCACGGTAGTTGTCTGCTCTACCGCCGGTATGGGGCCGGGCTTCAAAGCGGACATGGCAGTGGAATTCGATGAGATATTGGATATTGTACTAGGCTCAGTGGTGTACTGGTGAGTTTTGGGACTGGATGTGGTCGCCGGTGTGGGTGCTGGCTCGGCCGATGAGGCAGACTCGGCCAGCAGTGTGGTCTGCTGCGCCCCCACCTCCGACCCGGTGGATGTTCCGGTGCGCCGGACACCGGTGGACGTGGTCCCGCGTCCGGGCTCAGAGCTGGACTCTGCTCCGGCCATGTCTCTGTCAGGCACCGCCGCTACTTCCGCTAACGGGGACGCCGCTCCGCCAGCGGTGGTCGCTCCAGACGCGGCCAGCTCCGCAGAGGTGCTCTCTCCGTGCACCCTCGCCTGGTCAGGCACCGGGCCGCCCGGGCCGGCGGCGCCGCTCTCCTCCGTGCCAGCGGGCGCGACCTCTGCATCCTTTGCGGTGGTGCTCCCTGGACCGGTGGTGCTGCCCTCTGGACCGGTGGCGCTGCTCCCTGGACCGGTGGCGCCGTCCTCTGGGCCGCTGGCGCCGTCCTCTGGGCCGGTGGCGCTGCCCTCTGGGCCGGTGGTGCTGCTCCCTGGGCCGCTGGTGCTGCCCTCTGTGCCGGTGGTACGGCCGCTGGTGCTGCCCTCAGGGCCGGTGGTGCGGCCGCTGGTGCTGCCCTCTGGGCCGGTGACGCCGTCCTCTGGACCGGTGGTGCGGCCGCTGGTGCTGCCCTCTGGACCGGTGGTGCGGCCGCCAGGGCCGGTGGCCGACTCGGTCTGGGCGGCTCCGCTGACTGAGGGCCGGCTGGGCTCCGTGCCGTCCCCAGCGTATTCCAGAAACACGGAGCCGTCAAATGGCGGCCCTCCGGTCAGGTCATCTGCGATTGTGAGGCCCGACTCGGTGACCTGCCGCTCACTCCTCACAGAGGAGGTGTCACCAGAACGATACCCAGAATCCAGACCGTCGGCTGGACCAGAGGAGAAAGAATTCAGCAACAGATCCTCCTCCGTGGAGTCAGTTCCGGCCGATCTCAAAGTGTCAAAAGCCGTCGTTGAATAATGTTTCGATCTTTCTTCGACCTCCTGGCTTGCCATGTTTGCGCTATCTGAATTGATTACGCTTTCAGTTGCATCAGCCTGTTGCTGATCGTTTGCGATTGCAGCACCACTGCCTTCACCGTAAACGTATTCGGTAATATCACCGATATCCTCAATGGACCCATTAGAAATGTCGTCGATAACACTGACGTGATGACCAGCACCACCAGTGAAGCCATCACCCATCACATCTCTGGCCTGATGACCAGTGACGTCATCATCCACCTGTTCACCGGTTTCATCTGTTACATAGGGGACGATCTGGTCCGCGGGATACTGCCCGCTGTGGTCCGTGTCCCACTGCCCGCTCTGGTCCGTGTCCCACTGCCCGCTCTGGTCCGCAGAATACTGCCCGCTCTGGTCCGCGGAATACTGCCCGCTCTGGTCCGCGGAATACTGCCCGCTCTGGTCCGCGGAATACTGCCCGCTCTGGTCCGCGGAATACTGCCCGCTCTGGTCCGCGGAATACTGCCCGCTCTGGTCCGCGGAATACTGCCCGCTCTGGTCGGGCGGCCCTGCCCGGCGCGCCGCCCGCCGCCCGTCCGTGTCCCGGCCGACCCGGCGCCTCTGCCGTCCGGCCGGCGCGGCGATGAAGGGCGGCGGCCACAGCTCAGAGGCCGGCCGGCCGTCGGTCACGCTGGCCGCGGTCAGCGCCGGCACCTCGGCCGTCAGCGGGATGGTCATCTCCGGCGGGATGGTGCCGGACGACAGCGCCGGCCCGTACGGCCCGTCCGTGCTCGGCTGCCGGCCGGCCGGCCAGTCGAGCTCGCCGGCGGCGGCGGCGGCGCGCCAGCGGGGCACCCAGAGGTCGGTGAGGTCGCTGCCTGTGGGCGCCACAGAGGTCGGCGCGGAGGAGTCGCGCGTCGGGTAGGGGTGGGTGGACGGTGACGCCGTGGCGTCCGTCGTGGACGGGTACGGCACGTCAGTCGGTGTCTGGGTTTGGACTGAGATCTGTGGTTGGTCTGTGGTGGTGGATGGGGATGCCTCTGTCGGCCTGTACGAGGACGGGGTGGGAGAGAGCTCGCTGGGCGCGGTGGGGGCGGCGCCGGCCGGTTCGGCAGAGGACGCCGTCCAGGTGTGGTGGCTGCCGCTGGGGGTCGTCCAGCTGGCGGAGGCCGGTGCGGCCGTGGTGGTGGCTAGGTCCAGGAAGGAGCCGTTCGCCACCTCCAGCCGGAGAGCGGTGCAGTTGATCACCATGCCGTAGCACGGATGGGGCAGAGTGGTCGTCTCTGTGGGGTTCTCTCTGAGAAACTCCGCCGCGACCGCCGACAGCTGCGGTGGCACCGAGGAAAAGTTCGGCTTCAGGGCAGTCAGCTCGGCAGTCTGCAAATAAGACAACAGAGCAGTCAATGCCATGCCCCACGCATTCTGCTATGTTTTCGACGTGCTCGTCTTTCCTATTATCCTTTATCTGCCTATTTCTAAATGTTGCATATTAGTTTACCGTGACTTCCGTTGCATGGAATTCGTAAGTGCTCTAGTTGAAACATGTATGAATTGCAATATTTCCTACAATATGGATACCTAGTGCATTACGAAGAGTATTCAATATTTCATCTTAAAAACCGTAAAATATAATGCCGAAACTGTATACCGATCGGCATGCCGTATCCGGTCGCACTCACAATGTCATCCACGCGGCCGAAGAGCGCGAAGATGAGTGTGTAAAGGTTGAGCAGGTTGAGCGCCATGATGCGCGCCAGCTGCATACGGAGCTGCTGACGCGGATGGTAGCCCTCCAGCAGGCCCAGCTTGTCGAACAGCGTGGGGAACACGTTCGAGATGAGCGTCATCACCAGCGTCAGCTCGTTCTGGCGGTACCAGGAGGTGGCCTCCGGCTCGGTGGAGCGCTGCACCAGCAGGATGACCGCGTACGCCGAGCCCACCAGCAGCAGCAGCACGCTCAGGTTGGCCAGCACCCGCAGCGCGATCGTCCGCCAGCTGATCTCCTCCTTGGCTCGCTCGCGCTCCTCCAGTAGCGACTCGCGGAAACCCAGCGTGATGGACGACACCTGGGACGGCGTCCGCACGTCACAACATCAGGGAGTGACAACTCAGTTCACGCCTACTTTAATTTTGTTTCACAGTTATAAGGGTCACACACCTGCAGCAAGTCAACAAAGAACACCCGCACCTCATCATTTTTGTTGAGTTTTTGCAGTACCTATAAGCCGTTTCTCAAACTGTATATATGTACTATAATTCACATTATTCAAAGCCGTCACCGTGTGAGTAATACACGCACCTTGTTCAGCGCCGTTTCAGCGTGGCCAATCATGAAGTCCCAGCCGGTGAACAGTTTCCAGGTAAAGGCGCAGTCGTCCTCCTTCGACGACATCTTGCTCATCCGGGAGTTCTCCGCCATTCTGCCCGAGATCAGGCGTTAAAAAAGAAGAGAGACAGACCTTTTAAAGTTGCAACTCAGAGCGGCAGAGCGGCATAGGAGGGAGTTCTGCAACCCTTCCCAACTATACCTATACTCCCTTTGCATTTCACGCAGGCAGTGACATCTCGCATTTTGACTTGAGACTCGTGATTAGCCTGACAAAGAATGGAACGTGCCCAGAGTAAGTGCTTGATGTGGGTGCCTTTTTTTCTTATTGCCTGAATGCTATGTTTCTGATCTACATGTTTTTACTCAATGTTATTGACTTGGGGCTTTGAACCACAGCTATTGTGGATTACCCTGCCTACGAGAATACATACATACGTTCATGCAAACATATTCTTATAAGACTAAATAACCCCGAAATTGAAGGTAACGGGCATATCGATCCGAGCATCCATGATCTTCACTAACGACTGCAGACCCACTTGGCTGCGGTCGCGGTGCACCTCTGCTGATTTGAACGGAAGTGATTTAAACGAGGAGAATAGTTCTCATGAATGACTTTACAAATACGGCAGTTTTCAGCTGAGTAAAATAGGAGGCCAATGGCGTGCATCAGGCGAGCTCACTTTTTCAGGATGACGATGAAGCTGAAGGCGTAGACGATCATGCCGGAGAGGAAGTAGGCGAACGGGATTCGGTAGCCGGCCGACGTCTTGTCCTTGTTATTGTAGTAGCCGTAAAAGATGGGCGAATATTTGAGGATACCCTCAAAGTCCCATATGGTCTTGAGGTCGTAAGCGTGCTTCTTTTCGACTTCGAGCAGCTCCTTTCTCTCGCCCAGATCGTGTCTGTCGGCAGCCAGGATCTGGCGGCGCGGGGGCGCGCTTCGGTCAGCGCACAGTCGGAGCTATCACGGCGCACATTATCGGCCGCCAGTGGGTCTCACCAATAGACAGGATAATACATTCCTGCCCGGGGCTGGGAAAATTTAATTGTGTCACCGATGTTTTTAATTGAAAGTACCGAGGGTCGGTAGGCCCGAGGTACTTTCGATTAAAATACGAGGTGACACAATTAAATTTTCGCAGCTCAGGGCAGGAAGCTATTTCCCATACATGCGTACCATTATAGGGAGCGTTGCAAATGTTATAGAGGAACCAAAACGCCCCAATTTCAACCTTGTTGAGTCTTTCGTGGCTATGGTTTGTTGCGAATTAGCGTCAAACTTTAAGTTTTATATGGCGATGTTTCACTTTATTCATGACAAATAATAAAATCCTTGCACAAAACACAATGTGGGTAGGTATATCATAAGCCAATCAAATAAGATTGACGATAGATAAAATGAAGTTATAAGGAGCAAAGTGATGCTCTTCAACTTTATGATGTGACGTCATTCATAATGACGTCATATATTTGAGAGGTGCAGGAAAACGTCGAGGGGTGCAGGAAAACGTCGAGAGGTGCAGGAATATATAATACTGAACGAGGCTGGTGTAAATAAATTTTCAAGACCGAGGTCCTTACTGAATTTTTGAACGAGGCCGAAGGCCGAGTTCAAAAATCAGTAAGGACTGAGGTCTTGAAAATTTATCACCGGCCGAGTTTGGTATGTATTTTACTGTATGCCAACGATAAAATAATTGTCTAGACCGAAGCTCTTAGCCGTTTTTTGAACGAGGCCATCCCAAAATGTTGACTTGGTAATGCATTTTTGACCGTGGTCACTTTGCTTACACCAGTTATTACCACACCCCTCAGGCTAATGTATTTGAATAGGCCAGGCATACAGTAAAACATATTTTCCTGCATGTCTCGGAAACCAATCAGCATTGACTTCTCGTATGTTTCAAAAGTGTAGTATAATGCACGTGCCATTTTAATGCCTGGCTTTCTCGATTTAAACGTGCAATGTTGCATGTATATGGGAAATCTTTCGCCAAAAATCAAAGCTTGCATCCGCGGCATATGACCCATTGTGTTGTGGGCATTTTCAGGCGCAGAACGTTGTGGTGACATCCAGTTAATCATAGTACATTTTGGCCAAAAAAGTTCAGCTGAACAAATACATGCATTTACCGGGTGGCCCAGAAAAAAACGTTCCCAACTTTAAATCAGCATTTCTCAGAAAGTGATAAAGACACAACATTGAAACTTCCAATAGTCAATGCGGCATATATTTTCAGTAAATTGTATTATTTCTATGTTATTCGGGCAATTACTTTTTAAATGGTTCGTGTTTCTAGCATGTCATGTAATTTTTTTTTGCTCAGATGTTAACTAAAAAAAAATGTGAGTGAACGGGCCACTTTCATCTCGGTACCACGGCCTGCAGCATGACTGCTACTGGCAACTAGCCTCAGTGATGGTTCAGGCCTTAGGGTGGCACATTCCCTCTAGCTTTTTTCCTTATTCGGTCGATTTACTGTTTGATCTTCTTGAAGGGAGGGCAATCAGCAGTAACCCATGCACCGCGCCACTCCTTCTGCTCGAAACAGGACTCAGTGTTGAAACGAATGGCATCCATTAACACCATTTTGGCTCAGTATTTGAATAATCGGCACATAAGTGGGACAAAAATATTTAAAACCAGTATAACGCCTTTTGGGGCGACTAACGGAGCGAGCGAGAGGGTGGGCCTTGCACGTGCGAAATTGCGAGGGGGTACCTCCAACTGACTTGTGCACGGCACCCTACTAACTGGTCTCTAGCGATGTGCCAAATTTGGGCACAATCGGCCCAGCCGTTCTCGAGATCTGGAAGCGGCACCCTGCACGTGCGCACGTGCAAAATGGGTCCCAACTGACTTGTGCAAGGCACCCTACTAACCGATCCCTAACCGTGTACCAAATTTGAGCGCAATCGGTCCAGCCGTTCCCGAGATCTGGAAACGACCCCTGCACGTGCGCACGTGCAGCAGCACCCCAACTCTGGCACATCTATATGCAGTGCCTAATGGGTGCCTACAGCCTACCTACATGCCAACTTTCAGCGCAATCGGCCAAGTAGTTACCGAGATATTGCAACAATTACAAAACTGACACCTCTTTTTTTATAAATTTAGCTCGAATGTTTGAATGGACGGATTGACAGAGCCGGAACCCACGCTAAGCAGAGCTTGTTGCGTAGACCCCGACCCCTACCGTCCGATCGCGCAATTCCGGGTAACGGGAGAATTTAGATGCCAAAGTTTAACGTGCCCTTCAAAGCCGGACACGGCCTGTCCCACTCAACTGACTTCAACTGGCTGCGGCTGCTCCCATAGAGATCTTATATACATTTATTATATAAGATAATAATATAATATAATATAAGGGAGATCTTATATTTCATCTCCCTGTGAAAGTTCCTCTGGCACTGACGGCGTTGCGAAGTTGCGACATCTGAGGACTGTGCAGAGGTTCACTTATGACGTCACAGGTCAGTGACCTGACCTGACCTGAAAATGCGGTTGGTGTCACAAAATGCGGCTTGGATCAAAGGTCAGGTAGGGGAGAACGAGGTGAGTTGTATCACTTTTTACTTCAGGTCATATATCTCCCTAGATTTAACGAATAAAGTTACCGTTGATATACCAAAGGAAAGCTACAACCTTTCTCTACATGCATTCTACCGCACGTCATGCTACGGTTTCTTATTTTGGCTACACCTCGCTTTAAATTGGACCACTACAACTGGTACCATTTGCCCCACTAGTGAGGTAAGTTGTACTGCCTGGTGAGTTAAGATGTATCAATGTTTTATGATAGAAAATGCGACTTACTTACACTTCTACGCAGTCCGAAGAATGATACAAGTAGGTATCCTGATTAAAAAGCCCAGCTCCAGCCAGCAGATCAGCTCAGCCATTTCCTGATGTCGCTTTAGTGTACGCACGACCCATAAGAAAATCATATCATTTCTGCAATATAAACACATGTCGAAATCTGTTTGTCCGTCGTCCGTGTTTATATAATAAATATTAAAGGCGTCCCTTGCCATGAGACCGTGTATTTCGCATCATTCTCTCGATGACAAACCATTTTGTGAAAGGAACAAGGCAGAGTAGTCTGCTAACATTAAGCCAACACTGCGAACTCTGAACATTAAGCCAACACTGCGAACTCTGCAGTCAACTCATGTGTCAAACTAGTACGCGAAATCCGAGTCGTCAGAATCACAGTTCTGGCACACAAAGAGACCGGCACCATCGGAATTGATGCAAGCTTCATGTGCCCAGCGTTCACATGCCGAACACCGTATCCACTGTTCTCCTGGTCTGCTATTGGAATACGGCTCAACGCACACGAGGCAGAACGTCTCCTCTGCATCGGAATCATACGCCTCGCACCTCGACGCTGACTTATTCACTCGCTTCTTAGTCTTCTTTCCTTGGGCTTTTACCGTCCTCTTCTTGGCTCCTGATTCCTTCGAATTTGCCTTCCCGGTCTTGGGCTTCTTCTTTGCTTGTTCTTCTTCGAGCATTCGCTTTACTGGCGAGTCCGTCAACACCATCGAACTCCTCTTCTTTCTCCCTCGCTGCGATTTCCTCGCAGGAAGATGACCACTAAGGATGGGTCGAACTGCCTTCGGAGAAAACGTTTCGTCTGCACTACTGGCAGTCAAGTGGTGCGAAGCGTCCTCACAGTCAGTCACTTCCAGGAGAGCGCTGCTCGGGTCCGGCGCGCACTGAGGAGCGCTGCTCGGGCCCGGCGCGCACTGAGGAGCGCTGCTCGGGCCGGGCGCGCACTGAGGAGCGCTGCTCGGGCCCGGCGCGCACTGAGGAGCGCTGCTCGGGTCCGGCGCGCGCTGAGGAGCGCTGCTCGGGCCCGGCGCGCACTGAGGAGCGCTGCTCGGGCCAGGCGCGCACTGAGGAGCGCTGCTCGGGCCAGGCGCGCACTGAGGAGCGCTGCTCGGGTCCGGCGCGCGCTGAGGAGCGCTGCTCCGGCCGGGCGCGCACTGAGGAGCGCTGCTCGGGTCCGGCGCGCGCTGAGGAGCGCTGCTCGGGCCCGGCGCGCACTGAGGAGCGCTGCTCGGGTCCGGCGCGCGCTGAGGAGCGCTGCTCCGGCCGGGCGCGCACTGAGGAGCGCTGCTCGGGTCCGGCGCGCGCTGAGGAGCGCTGCTCGGGCCCGGCGCGCACTGAGGAGCGCTGCTCGGGCCAGGCGCGCACTGAGGAGCGCTGCTCGGGTCCGGCGCGCGCTGAGGAGCGCTGCTCGGGCCCGGCGCGCACTGAGGAGCGCTGCTCGGGCCAGGCGCGCACTGAGGAGCGCTGCTCGGGCCAGGCGCGCACTGAGGAGCGCTGCTCGGGTCCGGCGCGCGCTGAGGAGCGCTGCTCGGGCCAGGCGCGCACTGAGGAGCGCTGCTCGGGCCGGGCGCGCACTGAGGAGCGCTGCTCGGGTCCGGCGCGCGCTGAGGAGCGCTGCTCGGGTCCGACACGTGCTGAGGAGTGCCAGTTGCTCTTGCACCGTCCTCTCCAGCGTCTCTTGGACGATCTGTTACTTGTGACGGGCAGAAGTCTGCTTCACAGAAGACTTCAGGGTTAAGCGGAACTATGCCCGACACGCGGAACCCGCTCGTGATGTTGGCCTGTGTGCTGGCACTTGCCCAGGCGTCGCGGAGTACGCCGGGGATGTCGTGGATAGTCATTGTGCGCCCTCTGTTGTTGCGAAGCCAGTTCGCCTGTGCGCATCCAAGGTATCGTTTCAGTGGACCGTACACTGATCTGTCGAGAGGCTGCAGTTTGTGCGAGCAGTGGGGCGGGAATGACAGCAAGACCACGCCGTTTTCCTTAGCGTAGGTCACAGCCTCTACGCCAAGGTGACTTTCATGGTTGTCGAGAAGAAGAAGCACCGGCCTCTCTTTTGAGCATCGCGTGTGCTTCACGAA